AAGCACAGGCAAATATGGGGGTTTCTGAATTGAAAACTGCATATTAATGGACCAATAATTCTATTTTAATATAACTCCTAGCAATGGAATGCCTGGGATGGGACCAGAGGGGGGGGAGCACAGTATATACATTTCTTCTTTTATTGCAGATAGAGGCAATTTTTAAAATCATCTCTGTGTTGCCAAACATGTCCCACAGCCATTAGTTGCTTTCCACACAGATATTTGAAGACCCTCTCTCTTGACACCGTTAAAACAATAAACCTTGCAGCTAGGTTGGTCTGTGCATCTCGGCCGGTCTCCATGGAGCTGAATTTATGAGCCATTTTCATAGCACTTGCCGCCTTTTTCTGGTGCCTTTGGCTGGCTGTTCACAAGGATCTCTTTCTTCTCCCTCCAGGGTCTGGAAGGCAGGCAGATGGATGCAAAAGATTCTTCCCCCCTAGACCATCCACTAATGAGAAATAAGGCAAAAGGCTCGCATCCATTCTATGTGGCATTTAAGCTAATGGTGTAATTAAAGGCCAATTCAGTTATCATATTAGGGTTGAGTAAGAAGTGGGTCCCTAGTTCCAGCCACTTCCAACCTAGAAATCTCAGAGCCCGTGAGCCAGAAAATGATAGGAAAAAAGGAATGAGCCCTTGTCATTAAGGTTTCGCCATTTCTTTTAATGCCGTTGTTTGTCTTGTACTAAACTCGGAGTCCAGTTGACCAAACGTTTGTCACCAAGCCCCACCGATAGCAACAGGGCTTAGTTGCCCCAACAGACTTGTTACTGATGGTTGCTTACAAAATACATTAGAAGCAAGCTGATAAAGAGGGCATGCCCACCAGAGTCTGGAGCTCCCCACCGATAGCAACAGGGCTTAGTTGCCCAAAAAGACCTGTTACTGATGGTTGCTTTAAAAAATACATTAGAAGCGAGCTGATAAAGAGCACATGTCCACCAGAGTCTGGAGCTGTTCCTTTGTTGTTGTTGTTGTTTAGTTGTTTTTAGTCGTGTCCGACTCTTCGTGACCCCATGGACCAGAGCACGCCAGGCCCTCCTGTCTTCCACTGCCTCCCAGAGCTGCGTAAAATTCATGTTGGCCACTTTGATGACACTGTCCAACCATCTCGTCCTTTGTGTTCCTTACTGGACTACAACTTCCAAAATCCTGGAGTCCACATTTTTTTCCCCAAGCTCAATTCTCAACCTACACCAGTTTAGGCTAGTAGAGATTCTTTCTCTTCCTGACTTCCAGCGGAAGAGACATTGAAACAAGCAAAGATCTGCTGGGGAGAGTTTGAGAAAACAAACTGTACTCTGGTCTCTCACTCTATGACTCCCTAGAGATCGCTTTGTTATATTCAATTGTTATTTAAATAGCTAAGGGAATCTCTGCTCTCAGTTTAGGGGTGCTTGGAGAGGAAAGCTCCTTTTGAAGATGAAAAACCTAAGTAAATGGGCTGCCGTCCTAGTTTGTTTGCTTTTTATTCTTCTTGTTTATATTTTTTCCCCTGTAATCATTATCCAGCCACAAAGGAAAATGTAAAAGAAACCCCCTGAGCATAGGACAAAAAAAGGCTTATTTTAGTGGTTGAAAAACTCTTTGTAAGCCAAATGTGTTGACTTTCCTCAAATCCTGTATAATTGGTTTAATAATCACTAAGTTGTATTCCAGCTTGGTGCCATAAACTTAAAATATGCTTATTTAAACCTGGACTGGCTGGAGTTCAGTACTATGGGTGGAAAAAGCTAGTAGACTGTTATGTGTCTATAATAAAGTAAAGTTTCCTCTTGACATTTAGTCCAGTCATGTCGGACTCTAGGGCGCAGTGCTCATCCCCGTTTCCAAGCCATAGAGCCAGCGTTTGTCCTTAGTTTCCGTGGTGACGTGGCCAACGCGACTAGACACGGAACGCCGTTACCTTTCCACCGAGGTGGTACCTATTTATCTACTCACATTTTCACATGCTTTCGAACGGCTAGGTTGGCAGGAGCTGGGACAAGCAACGGGAGCTCCCTCCGTTGCGTGGGTTCGATCTTACGACTGCTGATCTTCTGACCTTGCTGCGCAGAGATTTCTGCGGTTTAACCCGCAGCGCCACCACGTCCCATCTATAAGAAACCAATAACTGAAGATGGCAACCCATTTCCAAGAGCCACCAGCACACGTGCATCACAGAATTGGCTTGGGCTATATGTTGTGACTGTTAAGTTCTCATTTATTTCAGTACAGCCTGTGCAGAACCTCCACTCAATGGGGTTCATCAGTCAAAAGGTAAAGGTTCCCCTTGACAATTTTTGTCCAGTCGTGTTCGACTCTAGGGGGCGGTGCTCATCCCCATTTCCAAGCCATAGAGCCAGCGTTTTGTCCAAAGACAATCTTCCGTGGTCATATGGCCAGTGCGACTTAGACACGGAACGCTGTTACCTTCCCACCGAGGTGGTCCCTATTGATCTACTTGCATTTGCATGCTTTCGAACAGCTAGGTTGGCGGGACATCAGTCTAAAAGTGCAATTGAAATGTTCTGCCCTGGGTACTCAAATGCCCCATCTCCAGCAAACCCTGACATGAGGCCAGCATAATAAGGTAGGGATACGTTGCAGGGGTGAATTGTAAGCAGCTTTTTGTAGCTAACTGTCTGGAGAAATTGCTTATCTGGTCCCCATACTCAGTCTCCCAGCACAGCCAAGGTCAGCAAGACCTTGAGTTCTCTGCCAGATTGAAAGCCAAGCACACAAAAGATCTTTGTGCCAAGAATTAATCTTCCCCGGTTGGCTTGGTTTGTGAAATACTTGGATTTCTCAACTACTCTGGAAATGAAGTCAAGTGGCATTCGTTTGTATGTGAACCATTCGGAGATAGGTAAAAGTTTGCTAAGGGGTTAACCAGTTCATGTGGTTATCTTAAATATATTTGGCCTGTCTGGGAACTTAATTCTCCAGAAGGTTATTTGTAGGATACATTTGGGCTTCTGATTAGATATCTTACTTGCAAAATTCTCATGAGACACCTCCCAACAGTGCATGCCTTGCAAGAGAGAAAGGGCCTTAACCCCTGATGATACCTTTGAGTGTAAAAGGTAAAGATGTCAAGGAAAAGCCACATTAATACTCTGCGTAGCCTTATCAATACCCTTCTGTTCAATCTTCTCTCTTTTGTATAAGAATAAAGAATTGGGCAAAGCTTCGTCGTTTCATTAGCTCCAGGATCTTGGAAGTTGGCTGTCCCTCCATCCTGATGACGTTGAAATTGACCATGTAGACAGAGACCAAGGATCATCCAGACAAGCAAACATCAATGAGAGAGACCAGAGGCAATGTTATAATCAAAGGCAGGAAATGTCAATAAGAAATAAGATCTTGGCAACCCCCATGCTAGAGCTCCGGCTGAGTTTCTCATAGCTATGGGCATTTTGTCAGCTGACAGCATGCTCTGCCAGAAAGTTCAGCCCACTAGGATTGTATTTGGCATGGCGCTGGTGATGCAGAAGGGTGCAGTGCTGTAGCTTGATTGCTGAGACATATAGCCTGATTCAAGGGATATTGCCTGGATCCTTCCCACCATAGGTTGCCAGTGGGAAGAGAAGCCTTTAAAAATTATATTCAAGAAGCACCAAATGGTTTATTTGTTTGTTCGTTTTATTTAGAATATTTCTAGATCTTCCATTTAGTAGTCCATCTTAGCACATGCTTTCACGAATTGCGTTTCCTTTTCGGTGGCCGCGATCTCTCACATTTTGGCAGAGGCACCAGACATTTCGCCTGTAGATAATCGCCATCTCTGTGGATGAACCAGCAAGTCAAATGTTGCCGTCACCGTTGTGCATGAATGCAGCCCCATATTTACTTGGCACAATCAGAAGAACGGCAGCTCATGATCACAAGTATCATACTAAGATACCCTGGGAAGTCATTTCAGTCTATGATTAATTTACAACATCATACAGTGAAGAAAGAGACGCCATAATTCATATGGAGCTCTTGGTTCATTTCTGTTTCTGGGTTAAAACATATACAGTATTTTGTGGCCCTTATCTCGACTGTACAGAAATGTGGGATGTGGACAGTTCCTAGCAAGTAGTATGTGTATGGTCCAAGATTGTCGGGTGTTACTAAGTGATATTTAGGTTACAGGAGTTCATGTAGTCGCTGTTCTGCTGCTGCTGTTCTCTGGCAAAAAAAAAAAAAAAAAGATTGGAAAATGTGAGAAAGGCCAACGATGTGGCCATTTCCAATATAACACACTGTGGGTAGCTTGATTGGACATCAGTCATTTCATGGCTGCTATAACAAAAGAACCAACTTCTGTTTAAAGTATCTTCATACTCTATTCCCCCCCTCCTCTATAGCCACCTTCATGCTGTATCTGTCACTCATTGTTTGAATGAACTCCGAGGGGATCAAAATAATTTTTACTCACTTTTGTTAGATTTGGGTTCTTTTCCTTTTAAAAAAAAAAAAAATCCCTGCGCACTGTCTATCTGTGGACCTGAACATCTAAGATTATACTCCGTGTAGCAGACAGGGTGGATTGCGAGACACAAAACGTAGCGTTGTAATTTTAAAAATCTGTTTCTCTTAGTGGTGGTGTGTAGATTTTAAAAAACATCTCCTCTGGGTTAGTAGAAATGTGCATGGATGATAAATGAAACTGCGTCTTACTTACAAACGGCTTGCTTGTTGCTTGTCTGTGATTCCGCATGCTTCTCTACTCCGGTCCCCTTTCATTAATCTCTTTCTACTGTACGGTGTCTCCTGGTTTGCCCTGGAACAACCACAGCTGGTAAACCTAGAAAGCTGTGGAGTGTCTGTTGGTTGTTTTATTTTTGTTCTTGCAAAAGCACTTCTGAATTATATATACATATATATAAATATATATCTTTCCCAACTGTGCTTTGACTCTTCTCTTTTTGTGTTTTCTGTTTTGTGGTTGTTCTTTTTTTGCTGTGACCACTGAACTGCACGCTTTTTTTCCTGCCTATCCCCCCACGCTTCTGCTCTGGCTGTAGGACTTCTTTGTGAACAATAGCTCCAGACAGGTAAGTCCGCTTTCTGCCAAACGTTTTGGTTGAATGAGTGTGAAGCGTGCCTTAGAGACGGCTACCTTCCTGTCACTGTCTGCCCACACCTTGTTGAGATCCGATGGCAGTGCCTCGCTTTGGCAGGAGCAAAACTGATGGCGACAGTGGGTCTCCTCTGTGACATACACGATGGACCTTTCTATCTCAGAAAGCTGTGTCAGCACGAAAACTTTCCTAAAGCTTTAGGCAGGGCTTTGTTTTTTTTGCAAGCGATCTTCAGTATTTTCCTCTGCCATGTCCGTCTGTCTTTTCGTTTGGCGATTTTGTTGGGTTTGTGGGTTTTAATTTTCGCTGGCTGTCCTGTGTTGTGTGAAAGCCCCAGAAGGGCAGGGTGCAAGCTCTCGTCTGTATCAACAAATTAAAGACAGTTTCTTGGTGTTGTCCGACTTCTTCAGATCAAAACAACAAAGCCCCCAAACCAGAAAATAGTAAGCGGGGCGGGAGGAGGGGGAAGCAAATATGCAACACATTTAGTTCAGGTGACAGAAACTCTAGAATGTAGATTTCCATGCCAATTAAATAGCCATCCATCCAGTAACATGAGGAAATATATATGACAAACAGTAAATTGACAGGGACTAGAAGACAACCCCAGATCCCTGGTCTAGATGAAAGTAGGCCATATCCAGAACAACAACAACAACAAGATTCTAAATCATTTTCTGGGTCTCCTTGAGGAGAACGTTTACTGTATCTTGTGCATATAAAACCTTGTCAGGAGCCCATTATTTAAAAATAAATCCATTAGCTCAGAGTAGCCATAACCTCCTGCAATTAGATGCAAAACAAATGAGCCTTGGCAGATTTCTGTGTAATAAACCAGATTGTGGTCTGCTGAGTTCTAGTTTATCTCTGAATCATAGTTTGTGAGTCTGCCACAATCCATAGTTCGAAGCCACGGTGGTGGTTGTTGCTGACTTCTAAAATCTAGTTTATTTTCAACCACGGCTTGTTGTTTATCTCTAAACCGAGAACCATGACCTTGTTGGCTCTTTTATATCAGTGTGAAATTCAATTCCTGTGTGTTGGTATCCCTCTCCCACCAGCAACACGCAGACCCTCTTTGAGTTTATACCTACTGTAGTCCATCAATTGCTACTTGATGTTTTGTAGCTGAAGTTTGCCCCCCCCCCACTGCCACATCTTCTGAGTTTGATTATTTTGTCCTGTTGATTGTGCATGTAACAGGTGCCAGGCTCAACTGAAGCTTGGCAAACTTAGACAGGAAGCATTCATATACAGTGGTGCCTCGCTTGACGACGTTCCAGCGAAATCGCTGTAGAGCGAAAACATCGTCAAACGAAATAAAACAAACCCATTGAAACGCATTGAAAACCGTTCAATGCATTCCAGTAGGCTGAATACCTGCTCGCCCAGCGAAGATCCTCCATACGGCGGTCATTTTCGGTGCCTATAAAGCGAGGAATCCATCCTAGAAAAAAGCGGGGGGCCATTTTCTTCAGCTGGTGGCCATTTTGAAACCCGATAATCAGCTGTTTGCTGATTGTCGTAAAGCGAAAATCGGTTCCCAAAGCAGGGAACCGATCATCGTTAAACGGAAAAAAACCCATTTAAACCATCGTTTTGTGATCGCAAAAGCGGTCGCAAAAACCTAATCGTACATCGATTTCCTCGTTGAGCGAGGCAATCGTTAAGCGAGGCACCACTGTACTGGGACAGACCCTCTGTCTGTTTAACCCAGTCTTGTCCCCTTGTTCACTGACACTGGCTGGGTCTCTAGGGTTTAAGGCAAGATGCTTTCCTGTGCCTACCTAGAGGTCTTCAGGTGCTCCCTGGTTGTTTTCCATCCAGGTACTAACTGAGTCTGAACCTGGTCTTAACTTCTAAAACCCAACAAGATCTTTTCTGTTGTTTTTTTCCTGACCAAAGTTCCCACAATCCCCCAGCCAGCCTGGTCGGTGGCCATGTTGGTTCGGGGGTTCTGAGGAAGACAGCTTCCTAAGCCCTGGGCTCAAATCCAGGCCTCTTGAATTAACAGAGCAGGAAATGATTCACCGCGTGGAGACCTTGAATTGTTAGTAGGCACAGAAATCAGGACTGAACTAGCTAGAACTGACTTGATCTTTTTTAAAAAATTGTATTGGGAGCGTCCACCGAGAAAGCCTTCTCTCATGTCTCCATCAAAGGAGCCTGTAAGGGTCGTGAGGCCAAGAGGAGGACCCCCCTCTGGTGCTCTTAAACATCAAGAAGGCTGATATGGGGAGATACTGCTCTTCAGATGACCCGGATCTGAACCATGTAGGGCTTAATAGGCCATAACCAGCATTTAGAATTCAGAAACGAGCTGGTAGCCGGTGAGGTTTTTGTATTGTGTTGTGTGCTTCCTAGAACTGGCTCCAGTTAACAGTCTGACACCTGGATTTTGAGCCAGATGACGTTTCTGAACCATCTTCAAAGGCAGCCCTCGTACAGAGCATGTTGCAAATGGGATGTAAAAGAGGCATTTTAGGAACTGTGGGAGTTGTAGTCAACAAACAGAAATCTGAAAATTTCTAAATGCATTGCTTTTCAATTTTAAAGACAGGTCTGCTTTATATTCAATTGGAACGTTGCATTATGTAGTCCAACCTTGTTTAATCTAACAGGCAGAGATTCCCCGCTAAGCTGCTTTAGGCTTATTTAACCGGAGACATCAGGAATTGAACCAGGGACCTTTGGCATGCAACGCAGATGTTCTACCCTGAACAGTGACCTTTCCTTTGCTCTTGAAAGCATCATGTCATAAGGCTTTGGAATTCTGAAGGCACCTCCACCGTCACCCTAACTGTCTAGTAACGGAGCTCTAAAATACAACATCTCAATTTATAAACAGCAGAAAAGCCTTGACATGCTCCTCTTTGTCTACACATTTCTGGGTTCTTAAATCTTTTCCATCTGGATAAATATTTATACACTTGTAACCAATTGCTCGCCCCCACTCACCTCCCCAAAGAGCATTCTGGTTTATGAAACAGCTGATTGTGTTTCAGTTCCAGACTCTGGATTTTAATCGTCACATTGGCATGTTCCGGAAGTTCTAAAATGCCATGACGAGGCTGCTTATTAACGGATTCTTTTCGTGCTTCTTGTAGAAGGAAGACTCCCTCGATGACACGCTGAGTGCCCGGCATAAAGTCAAGGAGCTTTCAGTAATAGATGGTCGGAGAGCTCAAAACTGCAATATCCTTCTGTCAAGGTATCATTGATATGATTTTCCTCCTTCCTTTCCTAGCAACTAGTTGTTCTGAGGCTTTTTCCGCAAGTTATCCCCTTAAATATATAAAAGCTCTTTGATAGCTTAGGTACACATGTTGCACCCTGTGTTCGTTTATTTAATATAATATAATGAATAGGGATATGATTATGTGTATATATGAGAGAGAAAAATCTTGTGCAGAGGAGGAGGGTTTCCACCTCAAATTCCGGAGCGTATCTACCTCAGGATTAGTCATGCACTGCCTGTGTAGGATGCTGCCACCGGATTCTATATTTGTGAGTTCCTGGAAGGGCAGTGTCATCATGCTTGTTGTTGTTTAGTCGTTAAGTCATGTCCGACTCTTCGTGACCCCATGGACCAGAGCACGCCAGGCGCTCCTGTCTTCCACTGCCTCCCGGAGTTGGGTCAAAGTCATGTCGGTCACTTCAATGACACTGTCCAACCATCTCGTCCTCTGTCATTTCCGTCTCGTCTTGGCTTCACACTTTCCCAACATCAGGGTCTTTTCCAGGGAGTCTTCTCTTCTCCTGAGATGGCCAAAGTACTGGAGCCTCAGCTTCAGGATCTGTCCTTCCAGTGAGCACCTAGGGTTGATTTCCTTCAGAACGGATAGGTCTGTTCTCTTTGCAGTCCAGGGGACTCTCATGAGCCTCCTCCAGCACCACAATTGTTAAAAGATTTATATGGGGTTTTTTTGGGATTGGAGCTGGTGGTGACTGACCAGAAAATGGATTTTGGAGTTGTGGCAGGTGGCTTAAAGAAAAGCACAAACACAGTTTGAAGCTGCTGTGAAAGTGGCGAATTTCATACGGAATCCACGAGAAAAAAGAATCGAGAATAAAATTGCAAGTATCTGACCGCACTCACATGAATCCATTGTGTGAATACATCAAGAATACTGTGAACCATCTTGAGTCACCCTATCAAAGAAAGAATTTTCTAGAACTGGATGAGGTGCAGAAAAAGATAGCGTAGAGTTTGTCAAAAAGTTTGACATCCACTCTGCCTCCGGGGAGGAAAGGTTACGACGTTTGAGGCTCTCTAGCTTAGAAAGAGAGGTGATAGAGGGATATAAAATCATGCATGATGTAGAGAGAAAGCCGAAAGGAAGAGGTTTTTCTCCCTCTTTCATAATATTAAAACCTGAAATAGCTGAATGGTATGGGATTCGGGACAAATAAAAGTATCACCTGCTGCATTCTCACACTGTGGAACTCACTACCACAAGATGTAGTGAAGTGCAGCTATTTGGATAACATTAAAAGTATAATAAATGTGTGAGCCAGAATCTTCTTGGGAACCGTGAAGCATTATTTATTTATTCATTCGTTGGTTCGTTCATTCATTCATTCAAAGCATTATCATCACACCTTGGTGTGTGGCTGATTTCATCATCTGGAATTGCAAGCAGCTCAGGCAATATCTATCTATCTATCTATCTATCTCTCTATCTATCTATCTATCTATCCATCTATCCATCTATCCATCCATCCATCCATCCATCCATCCATCCATCCATCCATCCATCCATCCATCCATCTTATCTATCTTATCTATCTTATCTATCTTATCTATCTATCCATCCATCCATCTATCTATCTATCTATCTATCCATCCATCCATCCATTTTATCTATCCATCTATCCATCTGTCCATCTAATCTATCATTCGTTCATTCATTCATTCAACTTATATGCCGCCCTCACTACCAAAAGGTCACTGGGTAGCTTACAACAATTAAAATACAGTAAAAAAGATAAAACAATTAAAATATAGACTTTACAAATTGCCATCAGGTCCCACAGTTGATATTATTTCAATTAAAAGCCTTCTGGAACCTGGCATCGAAATGTCATCAGCGTTGGCGCCAGACGAATCTCAGTCGGGAGGGCATTTCATAGTCTGAGGGACGGCTCTTTCAAAAGGGCCCCCTGGCTAGATCTTAACGGCCGGGTAGGTTCATATGGAGGGAGGCGGTTCTTCAGGTATCCAGGGCCCAAGCCGTTTAGGGCTTATATGTCAAAACAGGCACTTTGAATTGGGCCCGGGCAGCGACTGGTAGCCAATGTAATTTAAACAGAATCGGCTTGATGTGTCCCTTAATGGCCCCGCCACTCATCAGCGTGCAGCTCGATTCTGGACCAGTTGCAGTTGCCGGACTGTCTTCAAAAGCAGCCCCATGTAGACCGCATTGCAGTAATCTATGCGAGATGTTACCAGTGCCTGTGTTACTCTCAGGAGACTCTGCTTGTCCAGATAGGGCCACAGCTGGTGTAATTTCCGCAGCTGAAGAAAGGCGCCCCGGCCACCGAGTCCACCTGGGCTTCCAGACTTAGACTGGGGTCCAGGAGCACCCCCAGGCGGCGGACCCTGTCCCTTACGGGGAGTGTAACCCCATTCAGAGAGCAAATAATGTCTCTGTTTGATCTCTGGCTTGCAGATGAGCAACCTAAACATCACCCTGGACTCCAGCTTGTGTAAAGGAATCGTGAACATCCCTTTGGGCCTGAGCCTGAAAGTGACCACAGCAGGCTGCGGCACGTACAATTAAGATGAATGGGATTCTGGCCATAGGAGATGAGGCTGTCACCTTGGCCTGCAGCTCCCACAACTTCTTGTCCTCCGTCATGCTGGGTGGGGCTGATGGGGACAGTAGTCTAAACAGATAGAGGGCCCGAGGTTCCTCGTCCTTGTGACATACAATTTGGATGCCTTCTGCATGATTCGAAGAGGACCCGGGTTTGTTTCCAGAATGCCTTATTGCAACTTTGGTTGTTCCCATTTGAAAAGCAGCTCTCATACACATGCAGCCGTCCCCCATGAAAAATTTGTGACGGAATTATTCAGGGGGCAAATTGCAGTCGTGTTCAAATAGGGAAGGCCGTAGTACGCCAAGCAGATTTATCCTTCCCTGTTGCATTTATTGTCAGGCTAACCTGTCTGGCTGGGTTGTTGTGTGAAGATAAGGTCTAAAACTCCCAGTGTGTGTATAGCGATGATTGACTATTTTCAGAGATGGAAGTACAGTGGTGCCTTGCTTGATGAAGATAATCCATTCCAGCAAAATTGCTGTAGAACGAAATTGTCGTCAAGTGAAAGTTAAAAAACCCATTGAAGTGTATTGAAAACAGGTTCAATGCGTTCCAATGGGCGAAATACCTCAGCGTCCAGCGAAGATCCTCCATAGGGCGGCCATTTTCCAGTGCCTGTATAGAGAGGAATCAGTCCTAAATCACAGCAGGGAGCCATTTTGCACAGCGGGCGGCCATTTTGAAAAGCTGACAATCAGCTGTTTTGATTGTCGTTAAGCGAAAAATCGGTTCCCAAAGCAGGGAACCAATAGTCGTTAAACGAAAAAACCCATACAAACATCATTTTGGCATCGCTATAGTGATCGCAAAATACTCATTGTTAAGCGTTTTCCTCATCTAACGAGGTAATTGTCAAGCGGGGCACCATTTTATGTGGTTTTGTTGTTGTTTTTTTAAATGACAACTTCCAGAATGGCCGGGAAATGGCCATGGTGTTGAGAACTGGTTTGCCGGGGGCCACGTTGACTGTGCCCTTCTGAAAGACATCGCCCAAACAATCAAATGTTTCATGTTTTCCTCAGTTCTGAATCCTCTAGCCTAGGAAGGCTGTTTGCTCTATTCACAGCACTCCTGCTAAAATATCTTCCCATTGCATTTCTCCTTGCACCAAGGAGCCGATGAAAAGTTTCCTCTCTAACGACAGTCTTCCAGGACGAGCTCTTTATTTACTGTAGATATTTATAAACCAGATATGGTCTGGCGTGCCACACAGAAAGGGTCTCCCTGGCTCTCTTACTGTGGGAAAAATGATTGTACAGTGAGGTCATATGAGATTTATTCTCATGCTAGCAAATATTTTCAGTGTTCCATTTTCCCCCTCTTCCTATCCCCATGACCATGTAGGGCCTCTGTGTTTTGAGGCCTATGCTTAAATTCCACGGAGCGAGCCCTAGAGGTGCTTAACTTTCTCCTTGCACCCGGGGCAGATTCTCTTCCTTTGGTCAAGAAATCAATGGTCACTTTTAGTCATGATGGCTATATACCTGTGACATTTGTATGGCATTTTGCTGGACGCCAGTTGCTGAGAAGGACTTGTGAAAGGTGGCTGTTACCTTGAGATTCTGCTTCCCAGAAATTGGATGCTGAACTCCATAGACCTTCTGTCTGTTTCAGCAGAGGTTTTGGTTTCTATCTAGTCCAAGTTAGAGTAGACCCCTTGAATCAATGGGATTTACCTAAGTGCTGACTTAGCTATTCAGCTGTTGAGTCACAGGATTTATTGTAGCTATGAGTAGCCTTTAGATTTAGGCCATTTTCACAGTTTTAATGAGCCGCTGCTGATCTAGCTTAGTGCAGGATTTACTTGCAAGCTAAATTAGTCGAGGAGGTTCATATTTTGAGGGACACTAAATTCCAAAAAGCTCCAAACCCAAACAAACTAAATTTCAAGTTCCCGTAACCTTGAGTATCGTGCCTTATGATTCCATCAGATCTCAGCATGTTGAAATCTGGTCTTAGATTAGCAAGACTGAAAGTGTTAGGGTAGTTTGATCTAGAATGTGCCATTCAAAGCCATTAGCTTCACAAAGGACCTGCTCCTTATTCGATGAACTGCATTTTTGGGTTCTCCTTACAGGCTGTGGGGACTGGTGTGCCCTTTAAAATTCATCAACCACTGATGTCTGAATAGGACTAGAATCTTTATATTTTAAATATTGAGGCTATGAAACACATGTCCCTTCAGGTATTGTTCGAGAGACAGTTCCCATTTTCTCTCATCATTAACTCTGCTGGTGGGGCATGATGAAATTTGCAGTTTATCCACATCTGGACAGCCCTGCTTTATGTTCTCCTCCTAGCCAGTGTGTAGCTGGGATACACTCTCTTGGCCAGGTTGGCATTTCTCCCTCTTCAGGTGGTCAAAGCAGGTACTGACCCAATGGGGAAAGGTGTCAGTGCTGCTAATGAAAAAGGTGTTAGCGGAACCAGAGCAGAGCAAGGAGCAGGCAAGATCAACGACCCTATCGTGCCCGGCCCTGCCACAGTTTTCATCCACTGTCTGACCAATAGGTATGTTCTCCATGCCCCAGGTAGGCCCTCGTTGGTGTCACTTTCTCCCACCTTTGAATTTGCAAAGGTTAGTAAATTATTATTTTAAAAAAGAACCAGAATTCTCTCCCATCCATATGGGATGCCCAGCTGTGTCCATTTCATTTTCTTCTATGGTTGGATTTTGATAAATTCTTATGAAATACAACCTGCCACGAAATGCTTACTCATTCCCCAGGGGATGAGCGCAATTATCGGTTTCTTTTTCTCTCTTACTTGAATTTGGCAAATTTCAGTGCATTCTGATTTTAAAAATGAACAAAATTCGTCCTAATTCGGGCACAGCGACTCAGTTCAGGGGGGGTGGGGCTCTCTGGGCTTCTCTTTTGCTTTCCCCCGTTATTTATTAATTTTACCCCACCGTTCTCCTTGAAAAGGACCCAAGGCAACTTGTAGTGTTGAAAGACGATATTTAAAGCTGAAAAGAATAAATTGATTGATTGATTTGATTTGATTTGATTTGATTTGATTTGATTTCTACCCCACCCCCTAGACATTGTATACTTGGGACGGCTTACAAATATCATAAAATATCATAAAATATAACGAACATTAAACAATTGAATCAATAATATAGTGTACTCAAGATGGGGAATGATAGAAAACAAGAAGATAGAATTCAAGAATTGACAGAAGGGAAGGCCTGCCTAAAGAGCCAAGTCTTTAAAAGGCTCTTAAAAACACCCAGCGAGGGTGCCAGGTGGATCTCTGTTGGAAGGCTGTTCCATAGTCGAGGGGCCACTGCCGAGAAGGCCCGGTTTCTTGTTCTTTCTTTCCGGGCCTCTCTCGGCGTTGGGCCCCTCAACCGTCCATCCTGGTTGTGCCAAGGTAATTCGGGTAGATCTAGGTGGGAGAAGGCGATCTGCCAAATTTACAATGGTGGTTGACATAATTAAACAACAATATTTAAAGCCAAGAAGAATGTGTATAAAGAGCCAGCTTACATCATTAAAAGGCAATATTAAAGCTAAGAACAATAAGTATGCAAATATTAAAAAGAAAAAAAACAAATGCCACTCTGAGAAATTGAAAACACGAAGATGGAAAGCACTAGTACTAAAAACCCAGTCAAAGCAGTAAATGCATAACAATCCATCTAAAAATCACACATAGGTAGCTGGTTTACTGAGGGAAGGTTTGCCTAAAGGGCTTTGCCTGTTTGGAGAAGGACAGCAAAGATGGGTTGAGGCTGGCCTCCAGTGCGAGGGAGTTCCAGAGTCTGGGAGTAGCAACACAGAAGGCCCTTCTCTTCCCTGTCCCCACCAGACACACCTGTGAAGATGATGGGACCGAGAGAAAGGCCTCCCCGATTATCCGAACACCCGAGCCTTTCCCACAAATGCACAAGCAACAAATACAGAAATACATTATGGTTTGTTTTTTTTCTGATTTTCAAAGCAGTCAGTTCCTTGGCCAATGTAGGATGCGATTGTAAACTGTCTCTCAAACCCATCTCTCAGCTGACTTCTTTGGTTGGAGAAGGAAGGCCCCAGACCGTTTTCTTTCATCTCCATACTTGTTTAGTCCCCACTCCCCAAGACACACAAACACACTTTCACTGCCATGAAGTGCATGTAGTCTAATCAAGGCTGACCGCGTTCATCTACTCTTTCAAGCTGTCGCCTCCCATTGACAAGTTTCAGACTTAAATTCTTGTGGCAGCTGATACCCTGACCCAGTTCCACTCTTGGACAGTCTGCAGACTCATCAGCAGCTGCCAACAAATATAATGATTGTAGACCCTTTTTTGTTGTTGTTCTCATATCTTCCTGGATAAGCTTACAGCTTATGTTGGCCTCTTTCCCACCATGTTGTTCTGTCTCACCATCAATAAGGTCCTCCTCCCAGACCCCCTCTTCAGATATATTGTAGACCGCCCTGCTTCTTCCAGGCCTTGAGCATGAGGGCAGTTAGTTAGTTAGTTAGGCATCCTTCAGTCTCGAGACACTATGGTAACGTGCTCTGTATGGAGGACTTGGAACAGCGTCTAGTGTGGCCAATTCAAGAGTGACAATCCCTTCCACACTGAAGACAAATGCAATCTGTCCCCTGTACAGCTCCCTGATTTTGTTGCTTTCGGGACTGCCTCTTTGCCTCGGCCTGCTGGACAAGTGTCTCTTCAAATTGGGAGAGACCATGATGCACCGCCTGCCTCCAGGCGGAACGTTCAGATGTCAAGGTTTCCCATCTGTTGAGGTCCATTCCTAAGGCCTTCAGATCCCGCTTGAGGATCTCTTTGTATCGCAAACTGTGGACTCCCTCGGAGGCGATTTCTCTGCACTAATTCATCATACAGGAGATCTTTTGGAATCCGACCATCAGTCATTCTCACAACATGCACAAGGGCAGCCCACACGTGAAATCCATTTGACAGCCTTACTGACACTCGTCTGATTTCCTTGCTGAACTGTTCAACAGAAAGGCAGCGGCAGGATTGTGTTTTGCAAGGATATATGAACGCTCTCAAAAAATGCACAGTTTTTCTGATCTGTCTTTCTGAATTTGCTCTGCACTGCATCAGTATCGCAGAGCTCGGAAACTTTTGTTTTCAAAGACTACAGTTCCTAGAAGGGCAAAACCAGCAAGCACATCAGCCGTGCTATATGATGCACTGTGTTGCTGGTCTCTTTTCTGAGAGCAAATTAGTTTTCATATTTTAATGAAGTAATTTTAAAGTGTTGTAAACTTGACCGTATTTTCATACCAGGATGAATTTAATTCTGTTTTAATTTTTTAAAATAGTTTCAATTATACTGTAAGCTGCCTTGAAGCCCAAATCTGGAAGAAAAGTAACATAGGACTGAAAGGAAAGGAAATGTGGGCAGATTCCCAGTTACTATCAAAAAATGGAACATTTCCATGCCCTTTTACACATGCACATGGACGTATCTTCATGCAGAGATACATGTATCTGACACAAGAACCCACACATTTAATATTTGGTTGCTTTTCTAGGTTGAAATTATCGAACGATGAAATTAAACGTGCAATTTTAACGATGGATGAACAAGAGGACCTGCCGAAAGATATGCTTGAGCAAGTGAGTTTAACAATGGTTTAATGTTGTTTAGAACGACGTTTTTTTTTAAGTTTGTTTCAGGTTGGTGTGATTGAGAGATAGGTTTGGAAACTGTAGCCAGCTCTGAAACTCAGGATATCTGATGCTCCTTCTGCTAAATTTCACACCTGAGGAGTTGTTCTTCGTGTGGGAGAGGAAGGGCACAAAGCATCACCATCACACCTTGGTGTGTGGCTGATTTGGTCATCTGGAATTGCAAGCAGCTCAGGCAATATCTGTCTGTTTATCCATCCATCCATCCATCCATCCATCCATCTATCCATCGATTTTATCTATCCATCCATCTTATCTATCCATCCATCTATCCATCCATCCATCTATTTATCTGTCCGTCCGTCCGTTCCATCCGTCCGTCCGTTCGCCCGCCCGCCCTTCCATCCATCCATCCATCCATCCATCCATCCATCCATCCATCCATCCATCCATCCATCCATCCATCCATCCATCCATCCTATCTATCTTACCTATCTATCCATCTGCACACAGGCTGTATATACTCTTTGTATTTACGGTATGCCTTGACCAATGACTTTGTGGGCTGTAGTTAATGGAGGTTGTACTTCTACCCAGCTGGCTGTGTGTGTGCGTGCGTGCGTCATTTTAAAACCACCGCTGCCACCAAGGCATGTTTGGTTTAAAAAAGGAAAACGCTAAGCTTACGGTGATCAGTTAGGAATCAATAACAGGCTGCATTTGCAGTCAGCGTTTGGAAAAGTTACTCCTCTGGGCTGTTATTCCTGGACTGTCCTCAGCCATCATGACCTTTCGAGGAATCTGAGAACTGAGAAGTAACTTGCTCAAGCTTCGGACCACATAGGCATTTATGATAAGAGATGCCACCATTTATGGTCCAGATAGAACTACTCACACAATGTGGGCTTTTATAGTATTAGGTTAATATTTAAGAAAGGCCAGGAGGATCTGTGGAATATGCTCTGCTCTTGGTCACAGCTGTTGGAGCAGCTTTCCCCCCATGCGGCTACTTCTCAACATATGTAGGACTGCAAGGCCCATCATCCCCAGCCATGCTGAGCATTCTAGTCCCACACTTTGGGAGGCTACCATATTTGGCAACACTGTGTCAGAGGATCTCAGACCCGTTTTGTGGCTGTGTGTCTCCCTAGCCTCAAGCCCCGTCACCTTCAGAAAGACATTGGTGGTCACAGGAGGGGCCGCTTTGTCTAAATTGGCAATGATCTCTCCTTGTTTAGCTTTTAAAATTTGTCCCTGAGAAAGCTGACATCGACCTTCTGGAGGAGCACAAGCACGAGCTGGATCGGATGGCCAAGGCCGACAGGTTCCTCTTCGAAATGAGCAGGTAATTTTAGCAAATCATTTGTGGTTTGGAGGGCTACAAAGGAAATCCCACTGCGAGCCTTTTGACAAAAGATGGGCACTTCCAAAGGTCAGGGAATGGCCCATCTACTCTGGAGGACTTTAGTCAAAATAAAAAGTTTTTGATTTTGAAAAAAAGCTCCCCCTATCCAAGATACTCCCATGGCTTTGCAGATGGGACGGAATGGCCAGTTGTAATTCTAGGGCCACAGCTGGCCAACTTTGGTGGCCCCTGGGGGCTTTGAGGTCACCCGCAATCCCTGGGCCACACTTCGCCCACCTTTGCTGCATGCAAATAGTTCTTTTTGGGGGGCTTCCAATTCCCAGAATGTCTCTTGCTGCCTTGACCAATGACTTTGTACAGTAGGTTGTAGTTAACAGAAGTGGTAGTTCTACCCAGCTGGCTTGCTTTGGGACACATTATTGTTCACTTACACCGTGGACCAGGTCTGTTGGAGTTCCCCATTCCCTCCTTAAGAGATGAAGGAAGGATGTGCAGCAGGGCCTCATCAAGGAGATGCCCTGGTCTGCATTTACTTGTGGCAGGGAGAAGGTCTGTTAGCTCTCTTCCTGTTGAGCAACCCTTACCCCAGCTCTGATAACGCTTCTCCTCCATGGGTCTTCTCACCCTTCAAGCCCTTGGAATAAGGAGAGCATTCTACTCCCACTATGATTCAGTTGGTGGCTACACAGCAGAAGTGCTTGATCAGTTTCAGGATTCCCAGCACATCTGTGGAGTTACGAGTTGGGTGGTCTGCTTGCAGTCTCCCAAGCTGTTTACTTCCAGTGAGTTTTGCTGTAGCTCTTGTTTTTACAGTGGTGCCTTGCTTGATGATGATAATCCGTTCTGTTCAAATCGCTGTTAAGCGAAATCGTCCTCAAGCGAAATTTTAAAAACCATTGAAATGCATTGAAAACCATTCAATGCATTCCAACAGGCGAAATACAGTGGATCCTTGACTTACAGACAGCTTGACTTACAGACTTTTTGAGTTACAGACTTCTGTGGCCGCAAAATTTAGGTTTGACTTGCAGACTGAGATTTGACTTACAGACCAGAAAAAAATCAAAATGGAACGAAAACGGCCTGTTACGGGATTAATCGGTTTTCAATGCACTGTAGGTCAATGGAGACTTGACTTACAGACTTTTTGACTTGAGAACCGCCTTCCAATACGGATTAAGTTCTCAAGTCAAGACCCCACTGTACCTCATCGTGCAGAGCAGATCCTCCATAGGGCAGTCATTTTCTGGTGCCTGTTAAGTGAGGAATCCGTGCTAAAAACAGCAGGGAGCCATTTTGCACAGCGGGTGGCTATTTTGAGAGCCACCTATCAGCTGTTTGAAAAACATCGTAATGTGAAGAATCGGTTCCCAAAGCAGGGAACCGATCATCGCGAAGCGAATTTTCCCCATAGGAACATCATTTTGCGATCGCAATAGCAATTGCAAAAAAACCCATCGTAAAGCGGATTCGTTGTTTAACAAGGTAATCGTTAAGCGAGGCACCACTGTATTTATTTGTTATTGAGCTCAAAGATTCTTTGAGCATTTCTGCATGCAGCGGAAAAGTAGAAATCTCAGTTTCCGCTGAATGCATTCAGGGCTATTTCCACAATTTCAGAAGTCACCATTCAACACATCTGAACAGTGTTGGGTTGGCAAAGTTTCTCTTGAGGAATCCCAGGATTCCTGGTGATGCTGTTTGAAAGGCTGCGCTCCAGAGAACATATTCCTACAGATGCTTGGCTTGACAATCCAGAAAGCAAGAGATATGGCCTTATCCTTTCCTTACAGATCATTGACTGGGTGTGTTCCTTCCTCCTCCTTACAGGATAAACCATTACCAGCAAAGGCTGCAGTCTTTGTATTTTAAGAAGAAGTTTGCAGAGAGGGTTGCTGAAGTTAAACCCAAAGTAGAAGGTAAGCAGAGTATCTCCTTAAAGAAAATTTGCTTTCTCCTTGCACGGCACCTCCTTAAAGATAATTTGCGAAGTAACCTCATGGTTTTATTAAACAACAACAATAGCAACCTGGAAAAGTAAAGTATGGTTTCCTTACTTTACATTGCTTGTAGGGGACTCGGGGGAACTAGGATTGACAAGAAAACGTCATAAAACTTGAGGGGAAAGTCCTGTAAAATGCCTTTGAAAGTGTTTTAAACACTTTGTTACTTGCACCAACAAAATAATGTTGTTCGCATTTGTAGCATTCCTTTTGAAATTTGTTGCTGTTACTGCAACTTATAGACCGCTACATACAACGTAAACATGTGAGGAACACGTTTGTAACTTCACGATTCCCGTGTTACCCTAAAAGACAACTAGTTACAATGAATCACATTCCTGAAAACTCATCATTTCCAAGCTGTCATAGCACTCAGCCCTGGAAGCCAGATGGAAACTCCTCTATGGATCTATGGTGTAAGAATTCAGGAAAGCTTGTTTGTTGAAAAAAAATCACATGCCAAAATCTATTTCTCATAGAGACTAGTTAATTTGGGTTCCTTTTTTAAAAAAATACAATGTTCAAATCCTTTATTATGTAGTTTGATAGCTATGGTAGCTCTTCTCGACCTTCTCTTTCCATGGTGGTTGTTTTGGAAAGATTGGGTTGGCTAATGTTCATGTTGTTGCTTCCTTGGAATAACCATTCTCTAGGTCTCCTGCTAGTCCTATCAGGCTATCTAGAGATAACCTTTTTTCTTTGTTGTGTGTGGATCAGTTTGCAATTTAATATCTAAATAAACCACTTGCATGTCAAAGACCTCTTATGCGGTCAAGTTGCAGATTCCAATCCGGCTTCTTTCTTCCTGCCCTTTTGTAGCAATCCGCATGGCATCGACGGAAGTGTTCCAGAGTAAAAGCCTGAAACAGCTGCTGGAGGTGGTTTTGGCTTTTGGCAACTACATGAATAAGGGCCAGAGGGGAAATGCCTATGGGTTTAAAATTTCTAGCCTGAACAAGATTGCAGACACCAAATCCAGCATTGACAAGTAAGCGGATTCTTTCTCAGCGTGGGAGTGTGCTGTGGGATTGGGGTCTGGCCAAGACAAAAGGATATCCAACCATTCCTTTAGGGCGGTGGTTCCAAACCTTGGGTCAACCAGGTGTTCTTGGACTTCAAGTCCCAGAAGCCTTCACCCCCAGCTGTGCTGGCTGGGGTTTCTGGGAGTTGCGGTCCAAGAACACCTGGGTTAACCAAGGTTGGGAACCCCTGGTTTAGGGTATTGCAGTTGCTTTTCCACAAAGAAGAGTTTGAGGAATACTTTTGGAAAATAGCCGCCCCACACCTTTTCCATGAACCAAGGCGTCCTCCAGAAATCCAGCACGTTGGGATGTGGGACAATTCATTTCTACCAGGGATGTGCTAAACTTGATGGCTGTCTCCGTCTTGTTGTGAAGTGTGTCCGCTCAAGGAGAGGAACCAGCCTAGGCAGCTCTGTAAGCAAGCCGCGGTGTTCGTAAATTCATTCTCCTCCTTGCATGCCTGTGTCCCTTTCCCCTTTGAAAGCCCTGATCAGCTAATGATGACCGGGGGCTCTTTCTCCAAAGGTGGGACCATTGCCCCTCCCCTGTTCTGTGTGAGCTGGCTTACTCATGCAGCAGGTCCCCTTACCATGGATTAATCTGAGTTTTCTAAAGAAATCTTTCTTTATTCCCAACACTTATCCTGTCGGATAAATCTGCATGTTTTCCATAGTAAAGTCACAAAGATGTTTGCATCCGTAAATACATGTTTTAAAGGTTCCCTTGACATTTAGTCCAGTCATGTCCGACTCTAGGGTGCAGTGCTCATCCCCGTCTCCAAGCCGTTTGTCTGTAGACAGTTTCTGTGGTCACGTGGCCAGTGCGAGTAGACATGGAACACCATGACCTTCCCACTGCGCTGGTACCTATTTATCTACAGTACTTGCATTTTTACATGGTGTCAAACTGCTAGGTTGGCAGGAGCTGGGATGAGCGACGGGAGCTCACTCCGTCGCGTGGATTCGATCTAACAACTGTTTCGTTTTCCAACCTTGCAGCACAGAGGCTTCTGTGGTTTAACCCGCAGCGCCACCACGTCCCAATAAATGCATGTTATATATGATTCCATACATACATGCTACATGCTATTCAGCAAGTGTGGTCTACTATATTGTAGATATTTGTTTTTGTTGCAGGAACATTACCTTGTTGCACTATCTCATCACCATCGTAGAAAAGAAATATCCCAAAGTTCTAAACCTGCATGAAGAGCTGAAAGATGTCCCTGAAGCTGCCAAAGTAAAGTAAGTCTTTGTGTTTGGCAGAAGTAGAGAACGTTACTTTTCTGGACGGCTTCTCCCATGGATCCCACAACCCGAATGGAACATGCTGGCGGTGGGATTCTTCCAGAAGATAGAATCCAGAAAAGTTGCATTTTCCGTCTGTAACATTTCAGCACATAGCATGCCTCTTAGATATTTATTATATCTGAGAGCTTCTGTTTAACAAAGAATCCTTCTGAAGCAAGGAATGGAAAATAAACAGTTAAATGTAGTGGGAAATATGGAATAAGCAGTAGGATCCGTAAGGAAGTGTAAAGTAGCACAAACAGTTACATTCATATTAATTGACATTATTGCTGCATGATTTGTTTGTTTTTTTAGTTTGCATCTCACTTTGTGTCTACAGTTTCAGGTATAAGTGTGGCTGCGTGGAACGCTAGATAATGAGGTCAGAGGAGAGTCTAGTAGAATAAGAGGACTGATCTTAGCAGTTCCTTTGTTAGCATTTCTACTCTTCATATACCAGGAATTCTAGATAACACTTCATATATTTGATTAAGTAAACTCGCTTTGGGTCCAAGAAACCTCATGCTAATAATTATTTTAGTCATTAGGGTGTTAAGGCTGGTTTTGCTGCAAAAAAGCAAAACAAAAGAACCAACCCTACCCATGAACAGAGCTTTCTTGGTATGTGAAGAGCTGTCATCAATTCTCCTCTATTTACAGTATTCTTTTCTGGGTATTTCATGCACTACATATTAAATTGTTTGATCATTGTCTTCAAACAGGTCTTAAAAACAGTTAACATTCTTTAAGATTACCTCTTTTGTTTTGGTGCAAACAGGAATTCTTGCAGCAGATGAAATGTTCATTCCTATTCTACATTAATAGAGGTCTTTAAGGGAGGTGCCATGCAAATTATGTAAGCTTAATCTGTCTTTCAGAAAATTTTCCTCAAATAGGTGGACTTGCTTCAAATCCACATTTCTAAGAGCATTTCTCAAGCTGCATTATCCCAAGAGTGGGAGACTGGAAGCCAGTAGTTTTTACTGTGTGACTGTCACATAAGGGTGATGAGTGTGACAGGAAGTTGATCGCTATGACCTGAAATAAGTGTACAAGAGGGAGAATTGAAGTTAGAGCCATATTTCTAGAACAGTTTTTCTAGTGTTGTTCCAGAGAAACTTTTATAAAAGTGAGTTGGAGAGTCTTTGGCTATGTAGAGAACAATGGATTCTAAGCTTGAAATCCAGATGTTCTTGTACCTTTCAAGAACATCGGATTATTGCCTCTGCTGATTAGGGCATGTGGATATTATAGTTCCAAAATAAAGTCCAAAAAGAAATACTGCTAATAGAGCCAGTGGTTCACCCTTTAGGTAGGAGGCCACAGCAATAAATTACTGTGTCTATATTAACATTATATTTAAAGTGTTATTTCTAAAAATTAGCCTCTGACTTTCAAGAATGCATAGCCTCAGAGGAATTTCCAAGGTGGGGGTGCAGATCTATTAGTCTCTGGCAGCAAAACCAACAAAACAGTCAGGAAGTGGGCTGCAGTCCAATGAAACCTTTATGCCAAGGAAAACTTGTTCATCCTTAAGTTGCTACAGGATTCTATGTTGTTTCAACCTTACAGACTTCTTTTCTTCTTTATCCGTAAGAGAGTTTCCATCATACATCAGGGCAGCTTGGCCCCTTTGAACCTTAAAAGCCCACGGCCAGGAACATGTGCTGGTTGTAATGCACTGCCTACAGTGTGCAAACCCAGAAGCGCTTGGCAATAAGAGATGGGCTTTAGCACTATGTTTTCTGGGAGCAGCTTGAGGAATGAACATGCTTCCTTTATTTCTGGCAGCATGACGGAGCTGGAAAAGGAAATTGGCACCTTGAGGAGTGGGCTGAAGGCTGTGGAAATGGTAAGTACTGTTTACTCATTTAATGTTCCCATCGCACAGAGCCGTTCCAGGGAGCCCGTTCAGCCTCTGTCCTTAGAGAAGGAGGAGGAAACGCTGATGGAAGTTGCTTTTATCTCTCCTCCTGGAGGCCAGTTCCTTTTTTCCTTCCTGACCTGCATCTCATTATTTATTATTACAGTTTTATAGCACTCTTAATGACCCGAGTGCTTTCCTTTGTCCCTTTGATCATGTGCATTTAAAAAAAAACCCAAGTGTTTTGGGATAGATATAAAATTAAGCTTTGAAAAACTCAAGTGGTATTGATGGCTAGAAGAGGTTTTTCCCCAGCTTTGGTTAGTATGCCAGCTGCAACACTTTGCTGCTGTGCCTCCTTGTTCACATCACATGTGTACGAGAGAGCATGTACCCATATGGCATGGGGAAGTTGAGATCTTTTACAGAGCCATGGCACGCGCATAGTGTATTAAGCACTATGCTAGACTAATGCAAAAGCAAAGTATGCTGCTTATATAACACCCCACCGTGCTTAAAGCACTCTGTGGGTGGTTTGCAATTTAATTAGGCAGGCTACGTACTCCCCCAGCAAGCTGGGTACTCAAATTGCCAACCTTGGAAGAACAGAAGACGAAGTGACCCTCAAGCTGGCTGCCTTGGATTGAACCCAGGTCGTGAGCAGAGTTTTGGCTGCAGTACTGCAGTTTAACCACTGTGTGCCATCAGGCCCATATCAAGGAAATGAGCCCAAAATATTTGGCAGTCATCAGGCTGGTGAAGGCTGTACCAGCCCTTCCTAAAAGTCATATTCAGTATTCCTTTGGCTATGGTAGAGATTTACTGGGGAGAATCCCACATTGCACAAATGACATTTATAGAAAGTTAGATTAAATTTGGATTAAAGTCATAGAATTGCCGTAGGGTTGGAAGGGACCTTGGAGGTCATCTAGTCTGACCCTCTGCCCAAGGCGGGAGACCTCATACCATCCCAGACCTCCTACCCTCCCAGACAGATGACTGTCCGTTACTCATACCATCCCAGACCTCCTACCCTCCCGGACAGATGGCTGTCCGATATTTTCTTGTAAACCTCCAGCGATGGGGCACCCACCACCTTGGAAAGCAAGCTGTTCCACTGCTTAATGGTTCTCACTGTCAGGAAATCCCTCCTTATTTCCAGGTTGGATCTCCTTCTGACGAGTTTCCACCCACTGGTTCTTGTCCTATCTCAGGCACAATGGAGAATAAATTGATGCCGTCTTCCCTGTGGCAACCCTTCCGATATTGGAAGACTGCTATCATGTCTATTTAATTGCATAATCAGTCAGTAGGGCCTCCATAGCCCTCCACCAGCAGACTAGTCCCTCAGGATCCCACCAAAAAAGTGGTAGAAGATGGAGGCAGGGCATTGTGGCTTCACCACATAAGGAGTGCAGTGGGCCACCTCTTGGAATGTGTTGCTTTACTCCTTAGCAAACTTGAACTGGGAGTTAATAACCTATTGCACTTCTTGTTAATCCTCACCTTGCGTCTGTGAGGATTTTCGGGATGACCCACGTGAAAATAGCAGCAAGTGCAGAGGCCCAATGGAAAGCCTTGAAGAAGAGATCGTAGAATGTACGCTCCTCACAGCTGAAAACCATTCCCACTCTGAACCCACGTGAAAATAGCAGCAAGTGCAGAGGCCCAATGGACAGTCTTGAAGAAATCGTAGGATGTACGCTGCTCACAGCTGAAAACCATTCCCACTCTGGGTGATTTTACAATAAAAAAATAGAAGAGACCTAGTCACCTTACAGTAGATGAATGGTTCCTAGCCTTGGGTCCCCGTGCTCCTCACAGCTGAAAACCATTCCCACTCTGAGTGATTTTACAATAAAAAAATAGAAGAGACCTAGTCACCTTACAGTAGATGAATGGTTCCCAGCCGTGGGTCCCCAGATGTTCTTGGACTAAAGCTCCCAGAAGCCTTTTCACCGCTCGCTGTGCGGGCCAAGATTTCTGGCAGTTGCAGTCTGAGAATATCTGGGGACCCAAAGTTAGGAACCACCGTCTTAGATTTCCTGCTTGAAATGTCTGGATTTTAAACTCAATTGGGATATTTGATAAAAGTGAGATTTTAAAAAAATGAAGGAAGAAGTCTATTTAATTGAAATAAAGGAATCCTTGTTGACACTGCACATTCTCTCTCTTCAGTTCCTTGTACTTGCTTAACCGCATTTGCTGTGCTCTCTACAAAAAGTTTAAACATAGTGATTGTTAACCAGAGCGCGTACAATAGATACTGCGCTATGGGAGGAGGTAACTCTTAGGCTGGATAGAACCATGTGGTGAGCCTCACTCCTAGCTAGTTGCAGTTTTTACTCAAACTGGGATTTTTTTGGACAACAAATCCTATTATTCTCTTCCTGCCCTAGTTAGCTTTCTTTCTGAACAGAAACAAAGTGAAACTAAGCTTAGCTAAGCCCTAAAGCCTTCCAATTGAAGTAGTCTTTCTCTTAGGTGAGATGCATTTAAGCATAAGATGTCTTTTTGTCACGCAGAAGTCCCAGAATTGAGAATTATGGGATATATAGTCCAAGAAATCAGAAAAAAATCTCATTCCTAGTTTTTAACTGTGTATCAGCACTGCGTGGAATATTACCCCCACTTACTGTATGTTGTGTGGCTCAGTCCATCTGTGGTTGATCTTCAAAGTGGGCAGGGCCTTGTGGATCCCAAAGCATCAACAATGACCCCAATAAATATTATCTCTTCCCCCCCACTCCCAGGAGCTGGAATACCAGAAATCTCAGCCTGCCCATCCGGGAGACAAGTTTGTGTCTGTTGTCAGCCAGTTCATCACCTTGGCCAGCTTCAGTTTCTCAGATGTTGAAGATCTTTTAGCAGAAGCCAAAGAACTGGTAAGAAATAGAAATACTGTAGTCATTGGTGCCTCCAGATCTTTTCACTTCCACAATGTTCTTCCAGTTTCGCTTATAATGCTTATGTATTCCTGTCAGTTAATTAAGGATGGGGGAATCAGCCATTACTGGATCAGATTTTCCTCTTCCTAAGAGTTACTTAGGCTAAACTTCCTCTGTTAAGTTCTCACTCTGACCAGTCATTGTAGATAACCAATGTACCTGATGCTCTATGGTCAAGCCCCACTGAGCTTGGAAATTCACCAGGTTCCCCCTGGGCCAGTTGCCTCATCCGAACATAACTCACAGCGCCATTGTGAAAATGAAATGGAGAAGAATATATGAATGACACTTTGATCTCATTGAAGGAAAGGTGGGCTCTAAATGTAATGAAAAAACAATGCAATTGACAGGCCTATTGTCTACCATATCCCATGGTGACTTCCCCCCAGTTGAGTAACCACCACTGGCAGATCCATTTTCGTTTCTCCACTCCATCTCCCTGAATCTTCAACAAATCAACTCAAGAAGGTTGGGGAATCCTTTAGGACAGATTCAGGATTCGTGTTCTGGAGGCGGGGTGGGTCTATAGAGGGAAGAAAAGGGAAAAACTCATATTGAGCAAATGAAAGTCTACTTATGTCACATTAGATTTAGCTTCATGAGTTTGTCTAGGTCTTGTTAAAAGTGCTGTATAAGCTAGTGGCTGTAAAAGGCTAGCAAGAGTAAGCTATAATGCCTCGAAGCAATTCTTTCTGTGTGTTTTGTTCATTTTCCTGGGATATTGCTACATATTTATCATTCTTAAATGTCACCTTTGATTTTTAATAGAACATTGCTTGCAAAATAGGGCCATAAATGTTCTGTAGACGCTTTTCTGGTAATTACACAAACGTCCTGCTTGGGCGGGTGTATTTTCCTTCAAGAAGGGTGTGTAGAATTTGAAAAAATACTTTTAACAAAAACTTCACTAGCACATTTGGTTCCAATAACAAAGCATGTGGCAACAATAAATAACACACAAGAGCAACCCTTCAAAGAGAAGTTGAAAGTGCAAGTCTCTGTTCTCCCTGTCATGTGTTTGAGTTTTCTATCTCCTGCCCTGTAATATTGAGCTCTGTTTGGCTTTATTGCTCCCGAGTCTCGAGTTAATAAAAAGAGAGAGAAGACGGGCTAGATAATAAAGAGCATTAAGGAGCAAAAGAGGTGTGACTTCCTCCATGAATTCAGAATGGCAGTGGCGGTTCACAAGGAGGAGATGTGTCGGACCTTGGAAAGAGGATGGGTTGTTAAATGGTGGAGGGTCTAGCTGGCCATGGTGCCTGTAAGGGTTCGGGCTTTGAGTCTCTTGTATCCACAATAAAATCCGGAGGCCTTTTTAACTCTGAAACAGAGGAAAGGTTTGTTGGAGTATTTAACAAAAAAAATCAGTGTCCATAAGATTGTTCCATAACTTCTCGCCTGCCGCCAACGGGTCTGACAGGGGTACCCAATCATCACTAAGGAACGGATTGGTTTCACTCGTGTTCCAGGGGCACGGCCATCCGGTCGTAGCTTCGTCTCTCAGAGCCTCTCCGATCTCTCCTTCCAATAAGGGAACGATCTCATCTTCTGTGGGATCGGTCCACCCGGCATCTCTCGCTGGGGAGAAGGTTGACCAGGGTCCTCCAGGTAGTCTCTCCTCCTCATCTCTTCTACCCTCCATGCCAACCTTTCCCTCTTCTCCTTTTCGACCTTCTCCTTTTCCTCCCTCAATCTCCTCCGCCACTCCCGGGCCTTGGCCTCACCCCAATAAGATGGTCCGGGTGGGATCTCCCTCCTTCGACGGTAATCCGCCTCCTCCTTAGGCACTCATAGACATCCCCATTCTCCAGTCCATGGGTCCTGGAACCAAACCCATTCCCAACCTGCCGGCAACGGGTCCTCTCACCTTTTTTATCTGTGCCATCCCCGCTTCAATCTCCTCCCTCCTTTTCCTTCCCATTCCAGCCAAATCGTCCGGGATTTGAATGGCTACCGTCAACCCGCGTAACACCCTCTGCAGGTCCCGGACGTCTGTACCCCGCTGCTCTGTTCCTCTGGGAGCTGGAGCGGGCGAGGTTTGCACCTCCCTTCCCGTTCTCTGTGGAAGGGACGGCACTCCAGTGAGAGACACCTTTCTCTCGGCCCCGGTCTCAAAGTGCCAAAATTTGGAATGAGATCAGGACCTAAGAGTGGGCCAACGGCACTCCAGCGAGAGACTCCTTTCTCTCGACCCCAGTCTCAAAGTGCCAAAGAGGACCTAAGAGTGGGCCGGACCCTTTTCTTTTAAAGAAACCACAGCCCCAAAACACACCGAGAGAGGGGGAGTGGGAAATGTGGGGAGAAAGAAGGGAAAGAAACGGTTTTCAGTGCATTTTTCTTTTGCATTTTTGGCAGTCTGTGGAAGGTTATGGGGGGAAGAAAAGTGGCCCCCAGATCTGTCTGATCTAGAGTAAGAGGCCAGGGGTGCCCCTCTCAGAGACTGCTTGAGCGGGCTGTATATTCGACAGAGGGGCTTTTTAATGGGCTTCTCCATTCACTTCCTCCAGTTCACCAAGGCAGTGAAGCATTTTGGAGAAGAACCCGGAAAGACTCAGCCGGATGAGTTCTTCGGGATCTTTGACCAGTTCCTTCAGGCAGTGAATGAAGCCAAGCAGGAGAACGAAAACATAAGGAAGAGGAAGGAGGAGGAAGAGCGGCGGGCACGCATGGAAGCACAGGTAGGGCAGACGGGATCAAGGCCCTGCGGCATACATTAGGGCATATATGGTACAGCAGAGCAGCAGGAAGAACAATCATTGGGTGATGAGTAATGTTGATATTTTTCTATGTCTTCTGGCAGGGCCACGTCTTTCGGGGAGGTTCTGCAAAAGCATAAGTTGTATTGTTTGTGAATGTGGGAAGGTTCCAGAGATTGGCAGTGTTGGTTCTTTGGCAAGAACAGCAAGAGCTGTGCCACAGAAGCCTTCCCTGTCTCTTCTCTCCTTACAGCAAACGTGTAACCTTAGCTACTCAGCCTGAGTCAATGCTAAACCTTCCAGGTTTCCTGGAGTTTGCATTGCTCTGATTTAACATACCATATTTACAACTCCTTGGCCAAAATCTTCCTGATGGCTACACCAACAGAAGTAAAATGGTGTAACTTGCAGTGGCAAATGGCTGCTAATTGCCACTAATGAAAGAGTCTCTACTTTGATTCCTGGTCATGCAAGGAATCCCCCAGATGGTGTGCAGCAAGGAATCTAACCTGGGACTCTTTCATTAGTGGCAATTTTCCATTACAATTTATGCCATTTTCCTTTCCTCAAGCAAAACCACAGAAAATAATTCCAGCCCTTGGGTACTGAGACGCCTTGTTAAACAATCATCTGCTCTCTTCCCCTTTCTTTTCCCCCAAACCCAGCTCAAAGAGCAGCGTGAGAGGGAGCGCAAGGCCAGAAAGGCGAAAGAAAATAGCGAGGAAGGTGGAGAATTCGATGATCTCGTCTCGGCTTTACGATCCGGTGAAGTGTTCGACAAAGACCTCTCAAAACTGAAGCGCAACCGCAAACGCATCACGAACCAGCTGGCAGATGGCAGTCGCGAAAGGCCAGTCACGAAACTCAACTTCTGAACCCCGTCCCGCCATTTAAAAAAAAAAAACATGTTAGAAAGAGAGAAAAAAAATCACCAGTAACCTTCTGGAAAAGCCTGGGCTTTTTGTTTAACAGTGGCACTCTCCCTTTCATTTTGTACGTGTGTGTGTGCAAGTACTTGCTGTATATACAGATTGGGTTGTACGGATGGGAGATCAGAAGTGTGTATATGCAGCTCTGTTTGTCTGTCTCTGAGTCTGCACAGACATTCCTGCTTGAATGGGTGTTCCCTATTTCTATCAGTAACAGTGGCTTTCAAAAAGAAAAAAAAGTAGCTTTTCCGCAGTCAAAGCACAAATGTTGGAGAGAGAGAGAAAAAGCAGTAAAAGAAAGAAAGAAAGAAAAAACCCTTCTCAGTGGAAATGAGCTGGACCATGCTAGTTACCTATGCTCATTGTGGGGTCCTTTACTTTTTTATTTTAAATAGAGCTGGAAAAATGGAGTGGAAGGGAAGAGAGAAGAAAGGGGCCAATGGGCTGTGTCACACCAGAGCGGTTTGATTCAGATGGATCAGCCTCGGCCCCTGTTTCACCTTTGGGACTGTGGATGGTGGAAAGTCCGTTAGAAAAATGTGCTTGTCGAATTTGAACTGCATTGCTGGGGAAAGTCCAAATGTTTGCATTTTATTTTAATTTTCTTGGTTCGTGTTCTTACTGAAAACTTGAACATCCCTTGTGAGTACTATGTTGGTTCTGTTGTGTTCTATAACTTCCAATTTTGGTGATTTCTCCTCTGTTTCAAAATGAGATGGGTCTTCTCTCCCCCCCAGTTGGGCACCTGGAGAAACATCTCATTGCTGTAATCATGTGTATGTCAAATTCATTCATTTTCTTAGCCGAGGCCGATGGAGAATTAATTGGAGTGGGGAGCATCCGTTTCTTTCTTTCCTTCTAGAAAAGGAGGTGTTCTGTTTGTTCTGTTTTGTTTTCCCATTCCTTATTCTACGGGACAAACTGTATTCTCTGTAAATATAGGTCAGAACTGACCCTCCTTGGGCCTCTCTTCCATATCGCAGCCCTTGTCGGATGAAAAGGATCAGAGCTTTTCCAACACGCAATAGAAATTGGCACATGTGCTTCCAGATATTAGCTGAGTTTCCAGTGCAGTGGTTCCCCATTTTCCCCCACTTTATCCCCATCAGACCAGCTGTCCCTTCCTCCGTTTATGGTTCAGAGGGAGGGGCCCTATCCTGAGAAGGATACACATTGTGAACATGTCCATGTCCGCCAGGATAACGTGCACCCCAAAAGCTGCAGTTGATAGCACACCCAGTCAATCGCGTTTGAACGTGTTCACTTTTTGTACAACACGCTGTTCTGGAACTCATCGCTGGGGCTCAAAAAACATTTGTCTCCAAAGACATTAATAGGGAGTGGTTTCTGTAAAAGGCTTTACAAGAGGCTTAGTGGTCCGGGAGATGGATTTATTAGGGTTGTAATTTATAAATATAAAGTAGCAAGAAAAGACCAAGAAAAATTATTTCTTGAAAGTGTTGCTGTTCCTGTTGTTCTTGCCAATTTTTTTTAAGCAGAACTACCTGTCAAGATGTCAATCCAAAATCGACTCAACCCAGATTGCTCAGGGAGTAATTAATAATTTAAAAAATAATAATGATGCAGAAAAAAATTGGAAAAAAAATTTTAAATGCCAATTTTATAGCATGGCTTAATATTCTTAAATTATAGAGAATATAGAGGACTGTTACTTTTTTGTTTTGCTTTTATTTATTTGTGGGTTTTCTCTTAAGTGACTTTTAATACCATCATCACTGTATTGTAAACTGAGATTTGGGGAGGGGGGTGGGGAGTTTGTTTTTCTTTCCTGTTAAGGTTTTGCATTTTGTCCCTCTTGCACTAGATAGTTGATGCTATTTGAAACATGTATTGTCATGTGTTACATTGTCTTGTAAAGGATGTTAATGGGGTGGAGAACGAGAATCGCATTTTTTTTCTCCACGTGTACTGTATAGCGAGTGTGCGGTTTTATATAAAACCAGTTTGTACAAAATACAGTTCTTGTTGGCAGGGGTTTCCCCCGTCCTGCTGCAATGTGAAAGCTGTGACGCTCTCACATTAGAGAGCTGTGAGTGTGTGTGTGTGTGTTTGTGTGTGTGTGTGTGCAATGTTTTTCTTTCCATGGTCTTTTCTTCACTGCAGGTTTTCTGACACACCAAAAACATGCAGATGTCTCTCCTAGCAGCTAGCTCCTCAAGCAGTAAGAATGCAAAGCCTCTGCGGAATGCAGATGCGGAAATATAGCACTTCGCCTCAAAGCATCGAAGTTGATCCTAACGGTTACTTAAACTAAAGTGCCTCTATTTTATATATATATTTTTATTTGTAGCTGGAAGTAATTTGGTCAGAAACAGTTTTAGAGCAATGATGGGGTGTTTTTTGGGGGGGGGAAGAGTTCAGGCTGATCAAAAAGGTTGCATTTTAAATGACTTGAGATTAAAAACAAAAGTAAACAAGGAAAACCAGCATGTTTTGGAGTTGCAAAAAAAGAAAAAGCAGAAAAAGCTGCTGTCCTGTAAAATATTCAGTCTCTTCAAGGGACCAGCACTGCTGTTCAACAAGTTTGGGGTGGCATCTAAAAATATGGACGGTTTTCTATTGCCGTTTTAGAGCCACTGGATAAAGTCTTGCTTTTGTGGAGAATAAAAAGGCGTCTACATTGCGCCGTTTATAGCAGGTTGGTGGCACACAGAATTCTCTGCTGTAGTTCAGGGAACTACACTAGAGCCTTCTAGCAAAGATTTCTAAGTCCCTTACCAAACTACAGGATTTCAGAGGACGGACCCATGGCAGGTATGGGCAACGTTCCCTCTAAGCTGCACGCCTGCACTGCATTGTTCTCGCACGGCTGAGCCAGCGCTGCCCCTAATTTGCTTCCAGTCACGGGCGGGGCGGGACCCCCGCCCAGCGCTAGCAGAAATCAGGGGGAATGTTGTATGGCCCTATCAAACTTCTATAACTGTAGTGAAGATACATCCTTAAGAGGGCAGATCTAGTGTTTTTGATCCTCCTGTGGAGAGGCCATCTAGAACTGCATTAAATACTAGGAAACCATTCACACAACTCTTCATTCACCCTCACCAGCAAGGAGGGATGTTTCTCACAAGTGTTTAGACCCTGCATAAACTTCATGTGGCCCCAAGAGCCCAACCATGTATTTTAGTTTGTTTTTATTGGTTTTTTTTAAAAGTAGAATTGTATCTCCAGGAGCCTCCGGTGGCTTCTTGGATAAAATAAGAAAGGACTTCCGTCTAAAATAATGCATGGGCCCACACACCTTCTTTTAGCTAAAAAAAACCCCACCACTACTTTTAAAATATATATATATATATTCCTCCCTCCCCCCAAAACTCCCATTTTTGCAGAAGAGTGTGGTGCAGCTGACCTCCAGGCCCTCTGTAGTCACCAGCCCTCCTATTTTCACACAGATATATACATGCATGCATGCATATACATATATATAAGCGATTTTTAAAAGCCCATAGAAACGCATTAAAACACGTTTAATGCGTTCCTATGGGCTTAAAAACTTACCTTTCAGCGAAAATCCTCCTTAGCGCCGCCATTTGTGCTGCCTCTTAAGTGAGGCAAAACAGCGGGCGGACTTTTTCCCCATAGGGACAGTCGCTAAGCGATTGCTTTTGCGATGGCAAAAAGTCCATCGCTAAGCGATTTTGTTGCTCAGCGGAGCGATCGCTAAGCGAGGTACCACTCTTTGTGTGTGTGTGTGTATGCACATGCATATACAGCAACATGCCTTCCTACACTTCAGTTTACAAGCTAGTGGGTAGAAGAAAGAATTAAGGCCTCCAATCCCAGTTGGACTGGTATTCAGTCTGGTTTGCCTAAGTCAAGGACTGCAACGTCATCCCATCTCATCAATACCTGTGCTGGTAAGTGCTGCTGGTTGTCCCAATCCCAGCACATCATCTTCCCTACACTGGGCTCAAGGTTTCAAGCTGCACCCTCCCCCCCCCAAGAGGCCCTCTTGTCACACAACCCATTGGTAATCATCACACTGGAGATGAGGCTTCGTCCTTGAGGATGTGGCTTTACAGAATAGCATCCGCGATGGCTGTTGACCTGGGAAGATGGTGAGCCGTCAAAGAAGGCATGGCCGTCAAGCACGGGTTGTTGTTTTTTTGAAAGCCTACCTTCACTTTCCATAGCTGATTTATTCAGTGTCGACCAGACCTTAAACCCAAGCCTCCCATCTGGACCCGAAAGTGGATCCAGGGTCTGCAGTCAAGTCCATCTCAGGGGTGTGTTGTCAGATATCTGCCAAAAAAAAAGGCCATTGGCCTTTATCGGCCTGAGCCAGCTTGATCTTGACTGTGTCCTGTTTGTGCTGTACAGAACTTCTGAAGTATTCGAAGCTGAGTTTGGGCCTCTTGCCTCCTAGGTCAGATTGCTGGATCGCCGTAGATTTCCAGTAGCCCCTTTGCTGCACGGGGGAGCAACAAGGCGTTGGTGTAAACCATTCCTTGTGCTCCCAAACCGTACTTTGCTTTGTTAACAAACCTTGCTGTTTCTTTGTATTCCCTCCTGCCCACACACACCACTGAACGAGGAGTCTGTGTACAGGTGAACGATATCCATGTGCCATTTGTTGCAAATTACATTTAGACTGGTGCCGGTGGAACTCCCAGCCACTCTTGTCCGTTCTCTCTCTCTCTCTCTCTTTACATTGTTATTTTATTTCCTCTCTGCCTCTCTCTCCTGGGCGTGTACTTCAAAAAAATGTTTTTTTTATTCATGCCAAAAAAAAAAAAAGAGACGAAAAAGGTGATAGTTTGTAAACTGAAGTATACTAATGTAGCTTAGTGGTAGCAAACTGTTTTAGTGATTCCTAAGTGCAAGGAAGATTTTTAGCTAGCAGGAAGTGCTATGTATGTTATGAGACTGTACATTTTTTTAAAAAGACAGTAATATGCAATAAAGAATGTACATAACGATATGGACGTTCAGAATTTTCTTGTGCAAATACAGGCTGAAACTTTGCTGTTTTGCATAGTAAATTGCGCTACAGTAGGAGCAGTGAATCAGTGGTAAGATGCATTGATTCAAAGGTGCCTACCTGTGATTTGTTTTAGTGTCGTAAGTCACAGCTAGAGCAGGTCCACTTGAATCCATAGAACTTACATAGGAACTGACTCACTAAATCCCCACTAATTCAGTGGGTCTACTCTAATTGTGACCTGCTAGGATTTCAGCTGTAGAATGAACAAAACAATCAATTTTGAACTGAATGTTCTGATGCATACATGTTTTCTCTATACACAGATGTGGTTACAAATGCATGATCATTGATCATCCATAATTAATCAGAATCGTTGAGTCTGGATTGTGATTTTCATCACAAAGCCTGTTCTCTTCTAGTAAATAATATTAAAAGCCCTGCACCATTTCCTTGCAAATCATGAGTGTGCAGAATATGCAAGGCCACTGTGGAAGAAACACAATATGTGAATGCTGCTTTCCAGTATCTCTGAAATATTTTTTTTAGGTCAGGCATTGAAAGAAAGATATCTGTTTTTGCCTTTGTCTTGAGACCTGCCTCCCATAGGTTTTTGGATAAATATGTAAACTTCAGGTACATTTACTTTTTCCTCATTTGTTTTGAAAGGTTCTGTTTTATATCTTACTTTTGATTGGCCAAGGATTAAGGGTGGTCCGGGGACTCTCAATATATATATACCTAATGAGAGATAGCATGCAAATGCAAGTAGATAAATAGGGACCACTTCGGTGGGAAGGTAACAGCGTTCCGTGTCTAAGTCGCACTGGCCATGTGACCACGGAAGATTGTCTTCGGACAAAACGCTGGCTCTACGGCTTGGAAACGGGGATGAGCACCGCCTCCTAGAGTCGAACACGACTGGACAAAAATTGTCAAGGGGAACCTTTAACCTTTACCTTTTTTGATTGGCCAAGGATTAAGGGTGGTCCGGGGATTCTCAATATATATATACCTAATGAGAGATTGAGGAGCGGCCCCTCTGCTCCCAGATGGCACACAGAGATTTCCACTGGGGCGGTTAAATGCCTGCATTGCCAGAAGAGGAGACACTGTTTGCATGGAATTTTAGCCATCCCCATTAGATATGGGTATGAACCTTGGTTTGGAGGTTGTGCCAGTTCGTATGCACGACACACCACAGGTGCCACACATTCCTTTTGCACACCTGTCTAGCAACCTCCCATGTTATGTCTTGTCAACAAGCACTGCAACGATCTATGGATTTTGCTGGGTGAGGCTGCTCTCCTTCCAGGGCAAATAGATCAGACCTGTAATTAAAAGAACCAAGACCCAAAGCTGGAGAACAGCCTTTGTTTCCACACTGTAGTATAGGGCATATTGCTTTCTCAGCACTCAGGCATACACAGGTAAAGCAGGAGTTTGCAGGATAGATCTTGTACCGCTCCTGATGCAAACAGGGTGGAGAAGGATGTAAGACATTGTGTCATTTTTTGTTGTTGTGTTTCTTGAACCAGAAATAGTGATACCCTGTAATTAGAGCTGGAAGTGTGTTAAAAGTTGCACAGAATGGACTATTGAATCAGTTCTTCAATCCACAAAGCAAGCAGGCAAATCTGCATAATCTTGGAGGTGGGAAAAGCTTGATACTCAAGATGCTCCTATTAGATACAAATTTCCTTCCGGCAATCACGGATGGTCTCTGATGTCTCGTTTCTGGTCCTCGTATGTCACCAGCATGCTCATCCTTCAATACGAGGTTATGAGACTTTTTAAAATTACCACCCAGAGTATAATTTGACCAATTTAAGTCTGAAAAATGATTAATACAAATTTATTTTTCATAACTTATTACAAATCTCTCTATAACTAGTAACCAGTGTGGGTGGGTGGAAGCATCCATGGGAGGTGAGAAGGCATTCCAAGAGGATTGTGAGATTTTTCACAAATTTTCCCAGTAAATAACTAACATTTTGGGTTGGATGGTGGTAAGGGGGAGTTTTCTGAAAACCAAAGCAGTTTTCCCACTGCTCTGTAGTCTGATGCAGATCAACAGCGCCACCTTGTGCATAAGTCCTTCAGGACAACCGCCAAAGAGGTCTTATCCCAGATGTTATTTCTAGTACATTTTCTCATTTCATCCCTTTCTCCTTGTATACCAGCTATTAAAAAAATAGCAGGGATGAAGGATGGTGGCAGAACAGAGAATTAGCCTGAAAATAATGGGATAGCAATAATTAGTGAATATATAAAGAAAGCTACTTTTTTGAACTAAAGCTTGGCATGGCCATTGGCCACTCTACTGAACTTTCAAAAACACACTCACAATTATGTTCTAAGCAAAGTGCTGGGAGCAAATCCTTCTCTGCCTCATTCCAGGTGTGCCTGGTCATGTGGCCAACTCAGCATTCTTTCTGCCAACCAGGAGTAGCTCTTTGTGGGCCAAGAATGGTTTCCCCCTGCCCACCCCTAACACGGATTCCCTATTTTTATTATTGATCAGGTGGCGGCGGCGATTTATGGTCGATCAAATCACTTCTCATTTATGGCAGCCCATGAATTAGTGACCCCCCAAAAGGCCCTGTCATTACCAGCTTTGTTCATATTGTACAAACTCAAGACTTTGGCTTCCTTCATTTACTCAATTCATCTTATATTCAGTCTTCCTCTTTTCCTGTTATCTTCAATTTTTCCTAGCATTATTGTCTCTTCCAGAGAGTCTTGTTTTCGCATGATGTGCTCGAAATACAAGAGCTTAAATTGAGTCATTTTTTAAATTGTAGAATGTACACTTGATTTGATCCAGCACCTACTTACTTGTTTTGTCTTGATCAACTAAATTGATCACATATGGAGGGGGATCCCTTAAAAGTCAGATTACTATTGCATTGTGTTTTTTAGTTGATTGTAATTCTTGGCATCTCCACTAAGTGTTAGGTGGGGTTTGAGGTTCTGCACTGCTGGGCTACAAGTCAGAGAGTCAGAATAAACCAGAGGTCCAGAGGTGTGTGTGGTCCAGGCACTACTCGTGGTTTGCTGTCTCTCTCCATTTAGGTGGCAGAACAATAAAGGGTCTCTGTCATTTGCTCTGATGTTTGTTTCCTAAAAACAGCAATCTTGAGCTTATCTTGCAATGAGCCAGATCATCCAGGTTAACCACCTCTATAGGAACACAGAAAACTGAGCTACACTTGGATAGCTTCTTGGTTTTGTCTAGGCCAGTTTTGTCAACTCTCTTGCAGCATGGGCTCTGTAAAACTGCAAGCAAAATTATTTGCCGTTAACCATAACTGGGGTAATCTCTGGCCCTGAGTGATCTCCCCTCTGACTGCTAACCAGACCTGACACTGCTTAGCTTGCAGAATCAGACAAGATCAACTGTATTCACAATTGTATGGTTTTCATAATGTACATGAATGTCTACTCTGGCTTGGGCACGTCGTGAGAATGGCTGATGGTCGGATTCCAAAAGATCTCCTGTATGGAGAATGAGTGCAGAGAAAGCGCCCCAGAGGGAGACCACAGCTGAGATACAAGAAGATCTGCAAGTGGGATCTGAAGGCCTTGGGAATGGACCTCAACAGATGGGAAACCCTGACATCTGAGCATTCAGCCTGGACGCAGGCGTTGCATCACAGCCTCGCCCATTTTGAAGAGACCCTTGCCCAGCAGGCCGAGGCAAAGAGGCTATCCCGAAACCAGCAAAATCAGAGGAGCTGGACAAGGGACAGATTGTAATTGTCTTCAGTGTGGAAGGGATGGTCACTCTCGAATTGGCCTTCACAGCCACACTAGACGCCGTTTCAAGACCTCTATTCAGAGCACTTTACCATAGTCTGTCAAGACTGAAGGATGCCTACAACCATAATGTACACTAGTTTTAACAATATCAGAAGCCAGCTACCTGAACCTGCCGGGACTGGACTCGGGCCATTGAGCAAGGCTTGACTGCAGTACTGCAGTTTAACCACTGTGCTACGGGGCTCTTTTAACCTGGATAATCGTCTGCCTGGATGGATTAACAATATTTATTCTTCTTACATTTAAAACTCAATTTCACCCTTGCAGTCTCAAATTCTTGAGAGTTTTGTAAGTGAGATACTGGGCGGGGTGCTGTTACTATTATTTTTTTAATCTTTATCTAAAGCTGTAAACATGCAATACAAAAATAAGTTTTGCTGAGTTCTAGGGCTAGAATCCTTTTTCTTTTTCACAAGCCAGAACAGTTCCACTGGTAGAATAAGAAAATAAGAAGAGCCCTGCTGGACCAGGCCAAGGGCCCATCTGGCCCAGCTTACTGTATCTCACCGTTGCCCCACTCCCACCTTCCTGTATCTCACCGTGGCCCCACTCGATGCCTCTGGGAGCCCACAAGACAAGGAGATCCCTGTCTCCTGATCCCCCTCCCCTGCATCTGGCCTTTGGAGGTCCCTTCCTTCTAAGCCTTGAGATTATACCATGGCCTGTCACCTGTGATGGACTTTTTCTCCAGGAATCTGGCCAATCTCCTTTTAAAGGCATCCAGATGCCATCACTACATCCTGTGGCCAGGAGTTCCACAGGCTAATACACTGGGGAAAGAAATATTTTCTTTGGTCTGTCCTCACTCTCCCAACACTCAGTTGGAGTGGATGTCCCCTGGTTCTGGTATTGTGTGAGAGGGGAAAGAGCTTCCCTTTATCCATTCGGTCCATCCCCTGCATCATTTTAAACCTCTCAATCATGTCCTCAGGCACCTTTTCTCTAAAGAGCCCCAAATGCTGGAGCCTTTCCTCCTAAGGGAGGTGTCCCAGCCCAGTCATCATTTGAGTCGCTCTCTTCTGCACTTTTTCCAGTTCTACAATGTCTTTTTTGAGGGTCTGCGACCAGAATCTAGGCTTGATCTCATTTGCTGTTACTTTTAAACTGAATTTCTGCTCGCACAAGGGCTTCCTGGATTCCCTCTGTAGCCAAGGAGGAACCATGCATAGAACTGATTGTTCTACATCACATTCCCAGCAATAATATACTACCCAATGGGCTTAATTCCACGTAAGCATGTATTGGATATCAACCTTGTTTGACTGGCAGAATTAAAATGCTAAATGCTTAAGCTGCACCTTTTGATTTTGGTCATTAGTTTATTTGAAGTTGCTAAAGGCTTCATAGAATAAAGATGTTTACAATCAGCCCTCCTCTCTTTTTTCACTAGAAAATAATGTGCAGTTGGAAACTGCAAAATGTGCTGCTGGTGAAATAAAGAAAATATTGTGTAGGCTATGTATATCTGTTTAAGAACTTAAAACAAGATGTAGTGTCATGGAATACAATTTTGAACTGCATACTTTGTGTCCAACTGCATAATTCTGCGAAAAAGAAAAACCTATTGAAGGAAGAAAGTACCAAAATATCTTTGTTAGAACCCGGAAAACTATTCTTTAAGTGTCTCATTTACCTTGAAAGCCCTATTAAGTTCGCTATAAATTGGTTCTGACTTGACGACGCAGAACACACACAAGGAGACGTTTCTAATCTTTTGCAGGAAAAAAAGCACTCTATTTGTTTATTCACAATATAAATAAGGTCACAGTAGCAAAACCCACAAATACATACCATCTCCCTTATTTGTTTGTACTTGTTACAATTTCATACTGAAGGAATGGACGGTATTTCTCTTAAGGTATCTGGGGGAAAAGGGGTGGAAGGAATTACCCATATCCTTTGAGCTTCAGAACTGGCCAAACCTTGGGACCCACCCAGCCCAGGCAATCCTGTCCCAACCTAATCCACTAAGAAATCCATTGTGCTGAGTCAGCTCCCCGTTAATTTCTGGCTGCTCCATTCTTGTGAGCAGAGGAGGTGGCTCTGTTGGACATCTGCACGGAGAAAGGACTCTCATTCTGAAGTACTGTATAATGTGCAGGCCGTCTCTGCGCACGCAGACCCTTGCACATGCATTTGAAGGCATGCCACGCTCCAAAGAGCTGAGAAGGAATATATCTATGAACAACAACGCTGCAACTCACAAAGGAAACATTTGCAAAATAACAAGTTTATCACAGTGTGCTATGATGCTTCTGTTCTTTCAAGAGGCATAAGAGAGCTTTTTAAAGTCTGGGCAGCTGCATTTTGCTTTGTGGAGAGCACTTGCATTTCTCAACAGACAATCCACAGACAGGCAGCTCCTTACCAGCGCTAGGTGTGCATAATAAAAAGGCATTGATCCAAAAGCCACAGCTGCTTTAGAGAAGGGAGAAGGATGACACTCATTCTTATGTGCCTCTCCAAGGAGAGCAACACAATATGGATGATGAACACCCCCACGAGGCTGACAATTCTAGGATGCAGGCACATCGGCTTCGGGCCCAGGATTCATAATGCAGCAAGGGAAAAAAGGTCCGTAGAAGCCCGGGATCTCTGTAGCTCATTCAACAGATCATAAACTCTTTCTCCAGAGGATCAGTTTATAGTGCAATAAATGTGCCACTGTCACATTAAGAAAGTTGTTTCACAATCAATCTCTTAAGGCAAGGCTGTGGAGTGTGTCATCCTTCACATGTCACTGTTCAACTCCCACCAGCCTTGGTCAGCACACCCAGTAGTAAGAGATACTGAGAGTCAAAGCCAAACAACAATTGATTTTATTGGCCCATTATGAAACCACAGCTTTGGATTCAGGATCTGCCTGACACGGGAAGGTGTCTCCACTCAACATCCAATATATCCCCCTTTACTATTTTACCTATTCAGGAGAGTGGTTTTACCTGCCATGAAACATTTTTTCAGGCAGCAAAGGAAGGCGCCTATAGGAACCTATAAGTTGTCCTGAGTAGACATTGTCTAGAAGGGCGGAATAAAAATCAAATAAATAAATAAATAAATAAATAAATCTAGAGTTTAGTATTCTCAGTTCTGACTGGCAACAGCTGTCCTGAGTTCCGGCAGGATTCTTAGTCCTTCTTGGTTAAAGGCTGAACCTCGAATCTTTTGTAGGCAATGAACTATGATCACCACCCATGGTAAGGTATGATGCGGAAGCCCCTCTTCTGCCAACCCAGTTGCAGGCATCTAGCTCTGAACCCAACCATCACACACACAAATGAGAACCTGCACAGGAGTGCCTTCAATGGGAAGGAACATATACATCAGCTTCTACACATATACATCTCCCCATGTTACTGGGATGGAGAAGGACTGGGAAGGCTTTGTATACGACGGCCAAAATGCTATGGCCTAGTTACACCTAGTTACATAATCTGCGTCATCCTCTTGCTGGCAGTTTATGAGTCTGCTTGGATTTCTGAATTTACATCAACCAACCAGACTGGTACATATCTGAAAATCCAAGCAGCAACTCATTAATTAGCAGCAAGAAAATACTGCAAGTTACACCATTTGCCTTCTGCACATATAACTGCAACAGGATTTGGGCTTGTGTATCTAGAGTATCCCACACTTTGCCAATGCCATGCCCACGGCCACTCATTTGACATCACAGTCGGAAGAAATCTAGAGATGGGGATTCGAAATCCTATTTCCCCCTCCTGGACAGATCTCTGCTTCTGACCTGGGCATAGAGTTTCCTAGTAGCTGGACTTCATTCTACAGCTATGGAATTGTCCGAGGTGCAACGCCAATGTAGTCCAAGATTTGCATCTTATAATAATCTTAGAACTACAGAGCTGAAAGGAACCCTATGGGTGACTGAATTCAGTCCCTGTTAAGGAGGCACCGTGAGGAACTGAACTACCACTCTCTGGCTCTGCAGCCAGGCACTTAAACCACTGAGCTATCCAGCAATTATTTTACAACCTGCTAATGCATGCTTACTTGGGAGTATGGCTCACCAAATACAGGATGACTTCAGAGAAGAGCCTGGAAATATTTGGGATTTGGTCTATAATTCCCAAATTGCCTTGGAGTAGTAAAATAGCAGGGAGGATGCTTGGAATAGTAAAATGAAATCTGCAGAAATGTCTCAAGCACTGACTGGGCATTGTCTGTGACGTCTCCACCAAAGAGCAAAGAAAGTCCCTCTCTTTCACACATGCACTCTATGCTGCTGCACTGCAAATCTTCAAGAGCCAAAATGATCCTACAATGCCAACCTTTTTTCTTTCTTTTTTTGTTAAGCAGAGATGAGAGACATGGATTGTGGCAGAACCCTCACTGACTGCCTCATTTTATCCCTTCAGCCTAGTACTGTGCTCACTGCATTACTCGGTAGTTTCTGCACGCACCTTTTAAACCCCAGGTCTCAAAAGATCTAGGAAAGTAGCTGGATCCAAATTACTCAGCCATCAAGAGCGGCAGCTACTCCACCTCACTTTAAAATCAACCCACCTTCAAGGACCTGAGACTCCGCTCACCCATTTCCTTCAGTGTGTCCATATTTGCCTGTGCGCTAACAGAGATGTTTTGGAATTTGTTATAAATTCCTGCTGAGAAACAATATTTGGGCTTCTGAGCTTCCAATGGCCTTCCAATGCTGGCAATACTGGGCAGCACCTCCCACTGTGCCCCCCACGCCACCTTTTTTGTTTCAAAGGCTAGTATCGACCGTGTCCAGTTTGAGATGGGTGCCAACCTCAGAAAGTGTGTCAGGCTGGCCATCGCGGCAGAAAAGCAGAGCTGGATTCTTACAGGCCCACATGGCCACCTCGCCACCGCTGGCTGGGCTGGAGGAGGTGAGGGTACTTCTAGCCGTAACCCCACTGCCCGGCCCACGGCTGGCGTAGTGCTCGGCCCGACTCTTGGCCTGCAGGCGGCGGCGACCTTGGGCGGTGGCCAAATAGGCGGCCACGTTGTTCCTCGTCCTGTACCCGCCTTCACGGTTGCGCCCCAGCAACATAGAGATGTTGGGGTTCCGGGCGGCGTAGATAAGAGGGTTGATGGCGCCGTTGGCCCAAGCCATCCAGCTGGCGACGGTGTCCGTGGCGGGCGAGAAGGAGAAGTGCCCGGTGGCGGCGGCCAGGCCCAAGACGCAATAGGGGCCCCAACAACAGATGATGGAGACGATCATGATGAGGACGGTGGTGGCAGTTCGCATCTCGCCGTAGAAGCGCAGCAAGTGCCCGTAGGTGGTGAGGGGGCGCACCCTGCTCTCCGAGAGCCTCACCGCCCGGCAGATGTTGTAGTGGCAGAAGCACATGAGGGCGAACGGCAGCAGGTAGCACAGGACGATCAAGGTGGCGCCGTAAGGGGGTCCCAGGCGCGAGGAGCCCCACGGCAGGGCGTACATGCAGTGGTAGGCGGCCGGGGTGGCCGTGGGGGTGGCCGGGCCCGATCCCGGGGCCCGATCCTCCTCTTCTTGCTCCTCCTTGTCCTCCTCCCTGGCCAGCAGGTACCAAGGCCCGGCCAAGCCCAGGGCGGCCAACCAGACGGCGGCCAGCAGCTGCCCGGCCCTCCGGCGCCCCATCTTGCGTCGGGGCTGTCGGACGATGGCACAGTAGCGGTCGAAAGAGAGCAAGGCCATGGTGAGGGTGGCGGCGATGCCCAAGCCGGCGTGGAGGGCGGCGCTGGCCAAGCACAGCCTGGGCCCGAAGAGCCAGGCGCCGTGGGGCCTCCCGCTCAGCAGGCTGAAGAAGGCCAAGGGCAGGCAGAGCAAAGCGCCCAGCAGCTCGGCCAGCGAGAGCGACAGCACGAAGGCGTTGGTCACCGTCCGAAGAGGCCGGTGCCGGGCGATCACCCCGACCACCGCCCCGTTGCCCAGGGCCGAGAGGGCGAAGATCAGCAGCAGCAGCAGCGCCTGAGAGGCCAGCGCCGCCCCGGACCAGGCCCCCCACCACGGCGGCGATGCCAAGGACGCCTCCCGGGCGCTCCCGTTGGCCGAATTGCCTTTTGAGCACTACAGCAAATAAATGGCAGTGAGCTGCTTTTTGAATGCTGTAATGAGTAATGGGAAATAATTGCTTTTTTAAATCAACTTCCCATGCTCCGGAAGAGAGGAGTGCATAAGTCTGGGGCAGAGCTTGTTCTATGGACAAATGGATTTTTTCCGCGCCCCTCAGGCCCCCGAGGCCCCCTAGGCTCCATGAGGGAAAATGGAGGGAGGTGGGGAGGAGGGCCGCGGCGCCGTAGGGCTGGACCCACACGCCTCTGCTGGGCCGCGCCGCCCCTCTGGCTTTCCCCGCGCCGGAGCCCGAGGCCTGAGGGGCCTTCCGACGCCCGGCTGACGTCGCCGCCGCCGGTTGCCCTGGTAACCACGGCCTTCCCGCCCGACGATGGCGCACGTTCGGCCCTGGCACGGCGCCTGGGGAGAGGGGGAGCGCGGCGGGAGCGAGGAGACTTCCCGCCTTTCCCGCCGCCGAGCCGCTGACAAGAGGTGGCAACCAAAAAAATTCAACCCATGCAACCTTTCAGCTGCTGCTGCTGCACCGGTTCGATTTCTGCCTGCTATAAAAGCAGGGGCGAACGAAGGAGCAGGGGGAACTACAGCAACCCCAGGAGCCACGCAGAACCACACCCCTCCTGCAAACGGGTTAGAAATAAAGCCGTAGCAGATTTCCTTGGAAGGATTTTACAAGTCACGTTAGCTGTGACAGGAGGCAGCAGCATCCCTCAGCACAAAAAAAAGCAAAAAAGAGAAATATTCACCCTTGCGAAAGAGATTGGCAGAAGACATGTGTTTTGAGTATTCCAGGCATACCCACAAGTTTATTATTTATTGATTTATTCAAAATAGTTCTCTGCTGCCTTTCTCCCACAAAGGGACCCAAGGTGGCTTAAAAATCAATTAATGCAGTTGCTAAGAATGCTCTGTCCTGCACTAATAATAGTTGCAGGTCACAGATTCCCTGAGAAGGTGGTCTGAGTTTACCACCAAAATCTTTTGTACCAAAAAACATCCTGCACCTACATTGGAATCATTAGCGACCCTGAATCCGTGGGAGCAGGACTTCCTTCAGAAACAAAGCATCCATCTGAAAACTGAACGTGGAAACCTGCTTAGCAATGACTTAAATTAATATATACAGTATGTTACAATTCTAACTCTTGTGCCATTTTTGGAAACTGCAAACATTTTAGTACAGAGATGGTTCTGTATTACCTATGTTAGCAAAATTCCTCCACTTCCATCTAAAAGAGCACATCTCAGGAAAGAATGATGATGGGCATCACAGGGAGACCTGGTGACACAGCACTATCAGTCATAAGAGGATTTCGAGAAAAGGAGACGGTGTTCCCTGACAGTGTAGGTTATATATCAGGGAACGGCACTTTAGGCATTCCCCTCATAAAAGTATATTCCTCCAAATAATATTATGTACCTCCATTAGAAGCTGACACTTTTTTCTGTCAGCTTCTTTTAACGTTTTCAGGCATGAATCCTGGGCTAATCATAATCATGAGCTGTCAATTCTCACTTACCCATTCCTGGGTTTTCTAGATTTTCCCATTCCCTTCAGAGATTGTGCAGCTTGCCCAAGGCTACACAGGCTAGTTCTTCTGAGATGCACAGCAGGGAATCGAACTCCCAACCTCTGGCTCCACATTGAGATGCTGAATTCACTGCCACATAGAACAGCCTCAGATTTTTTATCAGCTGATACGCAGCAGGGAGGAGATGTAGTCTGGAAGGCATTGTCACCCAGCTGAAATCCTGCATATTCATTATTTTGATTTTTTTTTCTCCCCACCGTTTCTTTCTTGTCCTCTTGTTACATATTACACTTCAGCCGGGCCCAGACATCCAGTTTAACATGGATCTAGTACTGAGGGATCAATTAGCTCTTCTCCCTCCAGAATCTAAACATTCCCTATTTATTTAAGGCAGCATTTTCAGGAAAGCCAGGTGCTAAATCCTGGTTCTTTCTTGAGCTCAGTTCAGTACATCTGAACCTTTTGCATCTCCTTGGAACACATTTGTACTATTTTCATGGATTGGCCTGAGGTAACTGAGTTTGTTTTAGGCACATTTTCCTCACACAATTAAGCTAGGAAAATGTATTTATGGCATTTGAAACATATCCGTATCTCTGCTTTATCCAATGGCTTGGATGTTATTTTGTATTTCACTGTTGCTGAAGAGAACTAAACTTTTTTTTTTGTTACATTGTCCTCCAGCCTTAATTTTAATACAAAATACACCTCAGAACAGGTGTTTCAAAACCCTCATCCTGACCATTCAGTGGGAACCTCTCTCCTTTTTCTGTTGCCTCAGTAACATCTTTTAGGCTATTATCTCACTAACAATCTAATTTTAGTTGACAGCAAAGTCAATATTGGTTTGCAATCATTATCTTTAAACTCCTTCACTTTCCATCTGGTTATTCCACAAATCTATTAGTTTTATACCCATTTATGGGTACATTTCCCATTTACGGAGCTGGCAAGCCCCAATTTTCTTTCTGAAATGCTTGGTCCTTCTTTTGAACCTGGAAAATCCAGGCTCTTTAAATTATTCATATGTAAAATAGGTTATTTTGAAAGAAGCCTTGGTAATACCTCAGGCAGGTAATACCTCAGGCAGTTCAGCTTTTATAATGCTAGGAAGAAACTTCATATACAGTGGGGTCTTGACTTGAGAACTTAATCCGTATTGGAAGGCGGTTCTCAAGTCAAAAAGTTCTCAGGTCAAATCTGCATTTCCCATAGGAATGCATTGAAAACCATTTGATCCGTATCTGCTCTTTTCCGTCCATAGAAACTAATGGGAAGCTGCTATTCTGCCTTCGACCACTAGAGGGGGATATTTTGTTTCTTTTTTTCTTAGGTCAAGAAAGGTTCAGGGAAGGCAGGGAAAATACAGTCCAGGCAGTACCAGGCAGTCTGAAGACTCCCAATCCACTCTCTAAACGCTGGGAGGAGTGAGGAAGCAGACAGGCACCCTTTTCACTGGCCAACAGTTAACTGAAAGTTCAAATTTTGCACTTTCCCTGCCTCCCACGTGGGTTTTTTTCAGTTCTTAACTCAAATCTAAGTATGTAAGTCAAGTCAATATTTTCCTATGAGAGTGGTTCTTAAGTCAAAATGTTCTTAACTCAAGCCGTTCTTAAGTCAAGACCCCACTGTACTGCGATTTAGGGATTTGAGCAGTCAAAATCTGGTAAGAACAGATCAGGATCTTCACCAAATATAAATGTATCTTTTAAGGGAGAAATCTTTCTCTTATTAAAAAGTTCATTCTCTGCTTTTTCTTCTTCCTTTTATTTTTAACTCTACTCTACTGAAATTCTTCCCCCCCATTCATTTTTGAGTCCTCAGTTTTTCTAGTTCCACCTCATGATCTCTTTCTCCCCATCTCTTTTCTAATATCATTTCTCCTGATTTACCTCTAAGAACGATGTGCCTCGTGAAATCCTTCTTGCCAAGGATTTTTGGACTTAACATCGAAGAGTAACTTTCCTGACAAAATCCACTTCACCATGAACTTTTGGACTTTAATTTCTTCACAGTGGTGCAAGCCTGATGATGGGGAGATTGCCAATATTAATGGAAAGAATATTAATATTCGTCTCCCCTGGGAGATGAATACAAATATTCCATGCCGAAGGATTTTTAATGGTCTATAAGGGTATTTATCACCTATGCTTGGATTTCTAATTCCAGTGTCTTTATTTTGTTCTCATGATTTCTCATGGAACAAGCCCTACAGAAGCCACTGTATGGACTAGTAATAAATACAGTGGTGCCTTGCTAGACAATGATAATCCATTCCACTGAAATCGCTGTTTAGCGAAATCATTGTCTAGTGAAAAGCATTTCCCTATTGGAATGCATTGAAATCTGTTTAATGCGTTCCAATGGGGAAGAATCATCATTGTCTAGCGAAGATCAGCCATAGGAAACCCGCTTTGCGAACCACCAATCAGCTGTTTAAATAGCTGTCTTGTGAAGCTTAGGTCCCGAAAACACCCGTTTTGCGAGTGCAGAGGGTACTGTCAAAATCATTGTCTAGCGAAAATTGGTTTGCGAAGCAGGGACAAAACATTGTCCAGTGAAATTCCCCCATAGGAATCACTGTTTTGCGAATTGCTATAGCGATCGCAAAGTCAATGTCTAGCGAAAAAACTGTCATGTGGGGTTACTGTCTAGTGAGGCACCATTGTACTGTGAATAAAAGCACATTTGTTTGTCTAGCGAGGCACCACTGTACTGTGAATAAAAGCACATTCGTTTCTGTGTTCCACAATATTAACTTAATTACCATCAGATATTACTCATATAATGCAATTGCACACAGGTCCACATATGTAGGGCTATATAAAGAAGGCTCAGTTCTTATAAGGAGTGTATAACACAGTCTGATCTTTTGCTTCTTATCTTGTGCACCAAACATAATCTGTGTCTTTGCTTCCTTGTTATGGAGTGTATAACACAGTCTGATCTTTTGCTTATCTTGTGCACCAAACATAATCTGAGTCTTTGCTTCCTTGTTATACAAGTTTGGATAAACTCCCAGAAATTTGGATGACCTCCCAACCATTTCACTAGCTTGAGTCCCCGTTTTGTTGTCTTTATTCAGGGAGGGTGCGTGTTTCTTCTCACAAGAGGGTGTGTTGCTTTTTTGTAATAACTACAGCTTCAAAGCTATTAAATGGAAAGCTCAGTCTAAACACGTGTTATAGGATTCACATCCTTAAACAGATATAGCCAGATAAATAGCAAGCACAATCAATGCTAGAATTCAGACTCTTTGGTGTCATGGTCTGTAGACCATGGTCCATTGACCATGGTGTTTAGTCTGTAGATCCAGACTTCTGTAAAGTTGTGGACACATCTGGCTTTATCTCTTCAAGAATGCAGATATTTTCTCCCACTGAAACTCATTCTCCCTGGGTTTTCTATTTCCACCCCATGCTCTTTTCTCTGATTTCTAATTCCAGTATCTTTATTTTGTTCTCATGATTTCTAACTCAACGCCATAGCAGGATTTTTAATCAAAAAGCTTCCTCAGGTTTTCCCCCAATATATTATTATTGACTTCCCCTCAGTTTCGAGCTCCTCTTGTTTAAATTTCTCAGAACCTCCTTTTTGAATCTCTAAATCTTTGCCGTTTTATTTAGCTGTGTTTATTTCCTCATAAAACTAGAGAGATCACATTTTTCCTCATAAAACTAGGGAGATCTCAGACTTGGTATTTTGCAACTCGCCCTTTTATTCTGTGCTGAATTGCACTCACTGATAAGGTCCCTTTATACTGTAGCATAACAATGGATCACTTTTCACTTACAGATACAAGTGTAAAAATCCCTTACAGTTCCCTTTGATTTCTAGACTTGCATCTGTATTTGTGTCAAATCTGTTACACACTAAACTCCTTACAAACACCCCACCTCCCTTTAACTCACCACTTAAAACTATTTAGACCTGGGTTTGCCCACAAATAATCATGTATTTTGTTTTTCTTTTACAATCTTTATACAAACCTATATCTAGAGAGATCACATTTTTCCTCATAAAACTTGGGAGATCTCCTCAGACTTGGTATTTTGCAACTCACACTTTTATTCTGTGCTGAATTGCACTCACTGATAAGGTCCCTTTATACTGTAGCATAACAATGGATCACTTTTCACTTACAGATACAAGTGTAAAAATCCCTTACAGTTCCCTTTGATTTCTAGACTTGCATCTGTATTTGTGTCAAATCTGTTATACACTAAACTCCTTACAACACCCCACCTCCCTTTAACTCACCACTTAAAACTATTTAGACCTGGGTTTGCCCACAAATAATCATGTATTTTGTTTTTCTTTTACAATCTTTATACAAACCTATATGTTGGTTACTGCCACTATTACTCTGGCACTTACCACTCCTACCACATACCCAGCTGTCAGGTAATCCAGAAACTACACAATTTAGCTTGAGCTAAGTCAACTTTTATTGCATAAACAGTTTCAATAAAATGTAGTTTTATTCCATCTGCCCTCTGTTTTCAGGTCAAACATCTCAGCCGTTCTCTCCATTCTGTTTAGAAGTTTACAATCAATTTTTAAAAGTACATAGTATTGTGACAGATACTAAGGCATCGTAGACTGATTATAAAATTATAAAATGCTATATAAATGTTGAGTTAAAGACTTTAAACAAAGATGCAGTGTTAAAGGCATACCAACCCACTGCTACTTTTGAGAATCAGGATCTCTGAGGCTATTTTATTAGTACTGTATAACATATAATTATTTAATCAGGTTCCTGTTCATATCTATGAAACATCATATAAAAAGTTGAAGAGATAATACTGATTTTACTGAAATTTAACAATGCATATAGAAATATCTTAAAAAGCATGAACATTGGAATTGCAAAAGAGATTCATTGAAAGTAACTCTACAAAAAATGGCTCCTCCAGATTTATTTCACAATCTTGTTCTAGATCTGTATGACATATACATTTTTCACATCGGTTGGGAAACACAGAGAAGGTGCCACAGGACAAAGCTACTGTAGCTTGGTAAAGGCGAAGAGTTGCATGGTTATAGACCATTCTCAAGCACTAGAACTAAAACAGGGTGAGGAACAATTTAGTGTCCCCAGTGTACAATCCTTAATTATCTTTCAGTCACTTTCTGCCACCAAACTTGGAACTGGGGAAAAAAAGGGAAGAAGCATCAATGGCAGATTGCTCATGATGAAAAAAGGAAAATGCACTTCTATACTGGTTTCAAAAAAATGTAATACACCAATCTCTGTAACACTTGTAATAGGAGGAGGAAAACTTCCTCAGCCCAAGAGCCAAAACGACTCCTGGTAAACCTGTGAGCGGCCACATTCCAGCAGTGCATAAGACCCTTCCACTGCTGGCATGTGATCCGAGGATCACTGCTCAGCTCTTTGTGCCTGTATGTCTTCTCAATCTCACACCCACCATCCTAAAAATGGCTTCCTCCCTGTACGCCCTTTTAAAACAGTTGAAGGCACTAATTGCTGTTGTTGTTTAGTCGTCAAGTCATGTCTGACTGTTGGTGACCCCCATGGACCAGAGCACGCCAGGCCCTCCTGTCTTCCACTGCCTCCCAGAGTTGGGTCAAATTCATGTTGGTCGCTTCAGTGACACTGTCCAACCATCTCCTCCTCTGTCAAGAAAAATATTTCTCGACAGAGAAAAATATTTATCAAATAGATGTTGACTTGTATTTAGATGATTAATGCTTCACTAGACGCTGTTCCAAGTCCTCCATACAGAGCACGCTACCATAGTCTTTCGAGACTGAAGGATGCCTACTAATGCTTCTGTTTTACAGTAATTTGTAATGTGTGTTTGTAACAGCTAAGGCCACACAAATAAACTTGCATTGGATGTTAAAAAGAGAAAAAAAACACAACTGCTACTGTGAGAAATGGAAAACACAAAAATTGAAAACAAAAGTAGTACTAAAAGCTCAATCAAAGCAATAATGCATAACAATCCATTTTTAAAAAATCACTCAGGCAGCCAATCTTTGAGGGAGAGCCTGCCTGAGGAGAAAGGTCTTCACATGTCTGCAGAAGGACAGCCAAAATAAGGGCCAGTTTGTTGGGAGGAGGTGAGAAGTGATAGTAAGATAAAGTTAAAACCTAAATGGTGCAAAGGTCAATCTTTTATTTGTTATATCACCTCCTTTCTTGTTCTGCAGAAACAGGAAACTTCTAAATTCCATGTGAAATGGAATTTGAGTATTAATGGACAGTAAATGATAATGGGTCAATACCCATTTTTTAAAAAAACAATAAATTTGACATGCACTTTTCTGATCTCAGTGACTGGCAGAACTGAAGCAAAACAGCAGTGGTTATTTCAGAAAGAAACCATATTTCAGGGGGTCCTCCTCTTCAAAAGTGAATGTTGATGTTCCGGTATAAAAAGATTCTCCCGAGACTTCTACTATAACAGCATTGTGATCACCGCATTTCGTTTCCTGGGCAAAACAAAACTGTTCAGATTCAGGGTTGTTGTTTTTAATTCTAAAAGAAAGTGTCTGAAATGACTCCTTTTTTAAAAACAGCTCACGCTTTTACAGGCAATAACCTAATGAGCATTCAGATGATGCACAGAGTTGAAAAAGTAAGGCAATGTAACAGAAAAGGAGAAACTGTCAGTGAGTCAAACCCAGGGATCCCCAAGCTTAAAGCCAGTTTGTGCAAAGTATCTTTCTCTTCCACTCCTCCCCTCTTTGATCTGTCAAAACACCTTTACAAACGGTTGTGAATATTGCCAAAATCTGGAACCTAGAGGAAACCATGTAAATCTGTCTGCTCTGTATGAAGTATTTTCCCCTTCCAACTGTACGTTGGTAGCACAATAGTTCACAATGTTTTATAGCATTCTCCATTTTTCAGCCACCTTTAGAGTGTACAGAGTGCAAAAGATCCACTGTATGAGGTGCAACACTGGATTTCACCCACTATCCTAAAAAGTCAGTATATAAACAAAAGGGACACAAGCTGGTATAATTTTTGTCACGATTTGTTCCTTTAAGTGAACAAGGGGTTAAATTTAATATTGTAGTAAAGAATGCAAAGGCATGCCTATAAGGTCAAGTCAATGGATGACTGATAGCATACAGATGGGACAAGCTTAGGTAATGCTTGTCAACCATGTTCAGCTGCTATGTCTGCAAGGATAGGCTGCTCTCACTATTTAAGCAAGTGAGTGAGAACAGCACTTCACCACTCAGTTGCGAGTCTGGTGGTCATTACTTTACTTGAATGTGAATGTTATGTTGTTCTGAGAAAGCTATGCCAACGTATATTGCCATGTATATATGTCTGACCAAGTCTAATATATTATAAGTCTTATCAGAACTCTCTCCATGTTTTTTCCTTATACGTCCGCGTCTTTGCTCTGCTTATTAAGGGGAGGATTTGAAGCTACCAGATAAGAGACTCTGTAACTTTTATCTTGGGCTCCAAGGTTTGTTTTCCCTAACAGAGTCCTCTTGGAAGCTTCACTCTCCAAATCTGACTTCAAGCCTTTGGAGTTGGCCCCATGCCAACAAACATCTGACCACAAAAGGCTGGGAATTCAAATCCACACTGTGCATCCTGGGAAAGGGTCAAACTGAAGTTCTCTAAAATGTGTGCACTTCTTGAAATTATGTGACCTGCCACTTTTTGCTGTCTTGGAGAAACTGCATGTTTACAGAGTGGCACCAGAAAGAGGGACTGGTAAATCACTTTGAGTACTTTATGGTCATGTGAAAAAGAAAGTACACCCTCTTGGAATTCTATGGTTTTAAGTATCAGGGTACAATAAATGTCCTTAGCAGGTCTGAAAATTAGGCAAATACTACATCAGATGAACAACAACACATGACATATTACACCATGTCATGATTTATTTTACAAAAATAAAGCCAAAATGGAGAAACCATGTGTTAAAAAATAAGTACGCCCTTACTCCTTCCATAGGAATTAAGAGGCTAAGTAGCAGCCAGATGCTGCTAACCAAAATGCCTTACTTGCTCATCAGCAAGTGAGACCACCTCTATAAAGGCCAATTTTTTAGCAGTTTGATGGTCTGGAGCATTCAGGTGTGTGTTAAGGCCAAGGAGGAAAAACATTGGCAATGATCACAGAGACGTAATTGTTGCTGCCCATCAATCTAGGAAGGGTTATAAGGCCATTTCCAAATAATTTAAATTCATCATTCTATAGTGAGGAAGATTATTCACAAGTGGAAAACATTTAAGACAGTCGCTAATCTTCCCAGGGGAGGATGTCCGAGCAAATTCACCCCAGAGCGTGCAATGTTCAGAGAAATTGCAAATTTCTGGAAATTACATCTTGGACTCTACAGACCTCAGTTAGCATGTTAAAGATCATGACAGTAGAATTAGAAGAAAACTGAACAAGAATTGTTTGTTTGGAAGGGTTGCCAGGAGAAAGCCCGTTCTCTCTAAAAAGAGCACGACAGCATGGCTTCGGTTTGCTAAGTTGCATCTGGAAAACCACAAGACTTCTGGAACAATGTCCTTTGGTAGGATGAGACCAAAGATGGAGCTGTTTGGCCATAATGCATAGCGCCACATTTGGTGAAAACCAAATACATAATTTTTAGACCTGCTAAAGACCAGATGATTTTCATTATGTCCTGATATGCAAAACCATATAATTCAAAGAGGGTGTACTTTCTTTTTCACATGATTATATACCTAGAAAAACCACGAAAAGTGTTACAAGTCAGAACGGACTTGATAAGAAGTAATCTTTAATTACAGAAGGGAAAAAAGTATTTTTCAGAATAGAGAAACATTTTAAATCCTTTATTCAGAATTAACATAATAATAATAGTACCGGAAAGACCACAATTTTTATGGCTTACCGGGAGCAAAATCTGAAATGATCCAGTTTCCTTGAGGGTGATGCTAGACAGATTTAAGGCCTTACTGTAGTATAATACACAAAGGAAAGCCACAAATCCATCATTTCCATTAACACTCGGCCTTTTGCACGCATGCACACATGCGAACACTCCAAGTTTGCAGCTTACCTTTATTGCTTTTCCAGTGAACAAGGAGCCGGTTGAACTGCTTCTGAAGGTCCTGGTCTGATTCAGCTGAATTAGTCCTTTATGGTACTGCAAGGCAATACGAGCTGTCACACCTGACCCAGTCGGACTTCGGTCAACCTAGTTCAAAAAAAAAATCAGCCATGTTTTTAGAACCATCATTCAATGAGATGACAAAGGTGAATATACCATATTGTTACTCTGAAAACATTTCTCCCTTGAAAAGATAAATATTGAAAGACTGAACATGTTCTGGCACACAAAGCACTTAAGATTAAGTCTGAATTCAGACATAATGGCAAACTGGCTTATTTCTCTGAGCAAAAGCAGCCTCATAGGTTAATAAATAACAGAAGATTCCAATTATCTCTAGCCTATCAAACTATTGTGTGCACAAAATATGTTTTGTCTGTGGCTTGCAGCAAACTAGACATGGCAGCCTCTAATCTTCCCTCACACACACGAGAAGATGAGGTGAAAGCAGGAAAAGTGTGCGGCTTGAAACTGTTTGTAACAGCAGAACATGAAGAGGCTGCTATGAAAAAGCATTATCCTGGATCACCTCAAATGGAGAAGGATCTCTAGAAGGGAGTTTCATATCCAAGCAGGATCAGGATTACAGGTCCACAGAAAAAAGAGTGAAGCAGTGACACTCCTCTTAAATGGGTTGTAGGGTCTCCATGTAGTGTTTGGTACCAAAACAAATGCCAACATTTGTTGAGATTTTGATCTGAAACTGTATTTAAAATGTATTAACTAAAATGTTATATAGTGAAAGTAAAATGGCTGATTTAACCTGAGTCATGTACTAAGTAGTTTCAGGGGTGTACCAAGGTTATAAAGAGCCCGAAAACCCACAACAACCAGTGTAAACTTGATGTTGTACAGCCGGAGAAAGTGACGTATTTTCTGACTGGTCCCTAGATGTATAAAGGACATGTGTAAATGGGACATGGTATCCGCTGTTAAGTCAGATCATTTATTTCTACACTACAAGATGTATAAAGGACATGTGTAAATGGGACATGGTATCTGCTGTAACTCAGATCATTTATTTCTACACTACGTATTGTATGTTGTGTCATGCTGCCAGTTGAATGTCTATGCTCTTTCTGTATGTGTAAACAGACTATGTTGAATTTTACTGTTATACCGTGTTTCCCCGAAAATAAGACAGGGTCTTGTATTAATTTTTGCTCCAGAAAACGCATTAGGGCTTAGTTTCAGGGGATGTTTTATTTTTTTTTCATGTACAACAATCTACATTTATTCAAATACAGTGGTGCCTCGCAAGACAATATTAATTTGTTCCGTGAAAAACGCTTTCTTGCGAAAACATCATCTTGCAGAACGCGGTTCCCCATTGGAATGCATTGAAATCTATTTAATGCATTCCAATGGGGAAAAATTGTCGTCTTGCGAAAATCGTCCATAGAAAACATCGTCTTGCGAAGAACCACAGCAATCGCAAAAAACAATCGTATTGCGGCTTAATCGTCCTGCGAGGCACCACTGTATAGTCCTGTCATCTTCTTCTGGTTGCTGCACAAGGGTGGAGGGCAGGGTTTCACTTAACTAGGGCTTATTTTTGGGGTAGGGCTTATATGACATGCATCCTGAAAAACCCTACTAGGGCTTATTTTCAGGTTAGGTCTTATTTTCGGGGAAACAGTGTAGTGTCTTTGCAACCTGATCTCCTAACTCCACTTATACCCAAAGAGAAAAAGTTTAGCCAAATTCTCAACTGAAGTAGGTTTCTATCCACTTACAGTATTTCATTGATGTTGTTGTTTCATATTTTTATGGCATGCAGGCTCCTCCCGAAACCCCTTTAAAGTTGCTCACCCCTGCTTTTATATGCAGAATCAGATACCTTCTTTGCCTTCCCCTTCTTGGCATCATTGCTACATTTACCTTTTGGAAACCCTTGCAATCATCATGATCATCTGAGAATTGCAGCGCTGGAAAGGACCCTATGTATCATCGAGTTCAAGGAGGCACAGTGGGGAATCGCACCCCCAGCCTCAGTCTTTGCAGCCAGTTACCTAAACCACTAAGCTATTGAGCAGTTCTTATAAAATGGCAGGGTGCCACTTATCTTGAAACGTATTTCCCACCTGTGCATCTGCAAACACACATATGTTGCTGGTTGGTTCATCTCTGAATTCATCTTTTCCATCTGTGAGTATAGTTCCATAAATGAAAGCCACATCTTCAATTACAGGATGGCAAACTTTGTACTTTAAAAAAGAAGACAACAGTTTATCAACACTTTTAAAGGTACAGCTTAAAAAGTGCTGCAAAGTAAATAGCTGTTTTTATATCTACCTCCTATTTTAAATTAATGTAGTTATCACCACCCTACTGTGGTAGAACTGAGGTCCTATTTTTGTTACAAAGAGTGCCAACTTAACCCAAATTAGCAAACAACACTAACTCTAAAGTGTTCTGTGTGAAGTCTTCTTAAACAACAGAGCAGGAATAATGCCTTGTCAATATTTGAAATTTTGCATCTACAGTATAAGATGTTAAAGAGTAACTTTTAATAACTTTTGAATTGCAAGGCTGGAAGGAATGATGAAGTGAGTGTAGAAAAAGTTAACCTGAAAATGCAAGTATGTTTTAAAGTATGATTTGGGAAATAATTTACAATAGTTTTGTTTTCAAAACAATTGGCTGCTTTTCAGTAAGCCTGGGAACAAGGTCAATGATATAATAACACTGCTTTGAGGAATTTTATTCATGTCTGCCATGTTAGGTTGTAAATAAACTAAAAGTTCTAATGACGTAAAGAGTAGAACTGTTTTTGATGAAAATATGAAAATGCTGTTTGCCACGACAACAGTACACCCTTAAAGAGCTTAAAGAGTTATAAATATAGGGAGATAGAACACATCAAAACAGTCCATTTAATTCTTCATAACAAAACAGCTACACAGTGATACACATGCCAGAAATCAACAACAATCATGCAACAGAGTAGCTGGACAGAGGCAATTGACAAACATTACAGATTTCGCTCCACCAATTTTAATGGGCAGCTGTGTGAGAACATTATTTAATAATTTTTCTGTGTGTGTGAAAATATGCTAAAGGGGCTGAGCAATATATTTTACCATATAAACTTTTAATTTTGACAATTTTGATGTTTTATGTATGTATTCTCTGTTTTGGCTGTTTAAATGTGCATTTTAGGCTAAAAGTTCCTTTAATTTAAAAAAATTCTACTGACAACTTTTGTATTTGAGTGTCATAGTTATAAGCTTTTTGGATTTCTAATTGTGCCTATAGCTTTGTCATAGGTGTAAGACGTTTTACAACACTGGAGTATCTGCATATGAAACATTGCATACGGAATATGGAACATTTAAGCAATGTAGATAAATAAAGTTTGTAGAAGTACACAAGCTGATGTTGACTGGAATTACTACAGCAATGAAAAGACTTATACCTTTCTATCCAGATAAATGTTGATGTGATTATCAAAGACTGTTGAGTTTCATTCTGGAATTAACTCTTTATTGGGGAAAATGCCAGCTGTGACAAGGATTATAAAAAGTAAAAGTTCCCCTTGACAATTTGTCCAGTCGTGTCCGACTCTAGGCGGCGGTGCTCATCTCCGTTTCCAACCCATAGAGCTAGCATTTGCCCGTAGACAATCTCTGTGGTCACATGGCCAGCATGACTAGAGATGGAACATCATTTACCTTCCCACCGAGGTGGTACCTATTTATCTACTTGCATTTGCATGCTTTCGAACCACTAGGTTGGCGGGAGCTGGGACAAGCGACGGGAGCTCACTCCGTCGCATGGATTTGATCTTACGACTGCTTGGTCTTCTAACCTTGCAGCACAGAGGCTTCAGCGGTTTAACCTGCAGCGCCACCACGTCAAAAAGGTGTACAGCCATCAAATACTCAATTTCAGAAACTATTGGATGTAGCATAAATCCAAGTGTTACTTTCTGTTTCTACCTGGCAAACAAATAATCGGCCACAATCCTCGGGGGAGTGCACGCATTGGCTTGGTTGTGTGCACACAAGCACCCCTGATCGTTGTGACAGTATCACTGTGCTGGACAGATGGAAAGTTGGAAAAAGGAACAGATGGAAAGTTATGCTTGGACTTCCACTGCAACCAGGGCTTCATTCAATAAACGTAAGAATGTACGTTTGAATGAATGTATTGATTTTTTTTTAAAAGAACATGTAGCATTCACGCATACAGTACATGTATGTACAAACAGACAACATCTGAAACATTGATTAGAATGTCTATGCTCTCTATATGTGATCATCACAGATAAATAAGAAACAGAAACAGCTATCAAGTTGCAAAACATTTGACCAGTTTTACACAGATTACTCACCAAATAGGTTTTAAAAAGCTGGTTACAATTCTGCAACTAATGTGTTTGTTTTTTCCATCTCCAAAATGTATCAATGAAAGACACTGATCAGATGGCAAGGTTTTAAAAAATGTATGTAAAAAGCAAATTCAGGATTAACATGTGCAGCTTTCCCATGCACATGCCTAATGTGGAGACGTCTGATAATACCTGAGCCTTCACTGCTTCTGTTACGGCAGAGGCTGCATCCACCAGATCCTGGATCCTTGAAGAATTAACATCGAGCCCTAACTGGTCAGCACTGAGAAATGCATAGAAAGTGCCACCGTAGCCAACATCCACAATTACTTTTCCATATCCAGGAACTTCAATGGGGACATCTGGTATTCAAGCAAAGAGGGAGAGAAGAATATAAAGTTATTGTGCGTCTTGCTGTTGCAGGTATCCTATTTTGCTTTTTTTGACCTACCATTGCTCTGGTGTCAACTGACCACAACAGAACTGCCTGCCTACTGCTTCTTCATAGGGTTTAGGACAACGGAAACATCACTTTAAAGATTTTCATAGTAACCTTGGAAAGGGGAAGCAAGTCCACCATTTACCTGATGTTAGGAAAGTGTGAGGGCAAGAGAAGGGGACGACAGAGGAAGAGATGGCTGGACAGGGTCATCGAAGCGACCAACATGAATTTGACCCAACTCCGCGAGGCAGTGGAAGACAGGAGGGCCTGGCGTGCTCTGGTCCATGGGTTCATGAGGAGCGACTTAACGACTGAACAACAAAATTGTATTTTAAGCCTGCTCTGGTCCATGGGGTCATGAGGAGCGACTTAACGACTGAACAAAATTGTATTTGTGAGCTTTCTTTCACATGGCCACTTCGCCATACCTGTAGAAATACAGAGGAACGGGATGAAATACATATCAGTTTCACAAAGAGAAAATTATAAATATTCATTGGATATAGGAGTCTTAAGTGTGAGGTATATCTATATACCTATAACCAATGAATATTCAGAATATTCTATTTGTGAAATTAGTATTTCATCCAGTCTCCCTCTGTTTCCATAGGTCTGACGAAGCGGGCATGTCCACAAAAGCTCACATTAGAACATAACGGTTAGTCTTTTTAATTCCTTTTGATTTTGTCTGGGGTTTTTTTTTTGGTTCTTTGGATTTTGCAAGAGATGCACGGTACTGTTTCCATGCGGTAGTAGCCAAAGCAAACAAACAAGGCACAAGATGGTTCAGGGAAGCCACACGGCTCGTGTGCAAGAAAGGGCAGAGAAGCACTGGGTGAGGGGAGGCAGGCACCAGGGGCCACAATTTGGCTTGCATTATATAGTGGCTTGCACTACACTATATAGCAGTTGTTAAGCAATCCATGCAGCAAATAACAGCCTTTCATAATCCTATCCCAGAGGAGCCAGCCTGGGTGGCCTTGGGCAAGCTGCAGGGCAGTCCCAGGGCAACCCCAGTAGAAGGGGATGGCACGCCACCTGCAGAGCCTTCTCCACCTGGGAAACCCCTAAAGGGGTCTCCATGGATCAGAATTAATTTGCTAGCACGCAATTAAGTGAACCCATGAGCAAGATAAGCGCCGGGTGGGGAGGCGGGCGCAGGGGGGCAGGATCAGGTGAGATGCGCCGTCCCTGGAACGGATCCGTGCAGGAGGAACGTGGGAGCCCGGCGCTCGGCTCCTCGCGGACCCATTACCGGTGGCGTGGGCGAAGGCGGGCACGCTGTGGAAGCGGGTGCGGGTGCCGGAGCGCTGCCCGTCCCACCGGGCGAAGGCGGTGACGGGCCCGCAGGGGCAGTGGAGGATGATGGGCACCTCGCCGGGCGAGGGCGGCGTCGGGCAAAGGCCGAAGTCGAGGGCGAAGCGGGCCAGGCAGAGGACGGCGTGGCCGCACATG